GCATGATGCAACGATATCGAGCATGACAATTTAAAACAGAGACTTACGAGGTGACTATATGCCCGTCTTGTCACGAATGAACGCGCGTGGCAAGGAGATGGAAATGTTGAATGAAGAGTAGAGAAGAAAATTTGGGTTTCAAGTTAGAAGGCATCAAACGCACCTCGAAAAGTATCAGTAAGGCGCCAACTACGATATTCTAAAATACGTACTTTGATGAGATTGCACCAGCTCTATCATGTGCCTGAGCAAAGCAAAAGAAGAAGCGAGAGGGAGCTTCTGATACCCAAGATGGCCGATAATACATCAAATCAGCGAGAACACCTGGCCACCTTCATCATCCATCTGGGCTGCGGAGATGGAGTGCCAAATCGTGCGTGAAGATAGAAGCAGGGTGTCGATGTCCTGGAGACCACTGGTCTACTGATTGGGCGTCAATCATCTGATTGAACCAACCGATCGCTGACTACTGCCAGATAGTCGTGCAGTCAATCGTCTGTACTCGAGCATGATTCAACGATATGGAGTATGATGGATTCAAAAAAACTTACGGCTCGAGTATTCACCACATTTCCTTGCCATCCGTGATAGAGGTGCTGAGCGAGGAGTAAAGCGCGCCTGACAAAATATGATCAAAGCACCAGTTGTCTGAGCACAAAAAAGGGATGTCCAGATATGTGGAACATGATGTAAAAGTTCGGTGAACCAGGAAAGTAAAACCAGTGTGTCTCAGGGAGCTCAGACGGCTAATAGCCCCAAGGATTTCACAACCATCAAATCCATTCGAGATCTGTCATCTATCTGAGGATAACGAAGGAAGGAGCGGAAGTAACGGTAATCAGTAGAATTCCATATTTCTGATAATACAGCGGCTCTGGTTCGCAGGACACAACTACAACGACACCTGCCATCCGGACTTGGCTCGGGCAATGGGGAAATTATGTTTGTGAAAACGAATGAAGTGAGAGGGAATAACGGATGGGGTATGAGGAACTAGTAGAAAGGAATAGCATTGGATTAATGGCTATAATTTGTGATGCAAGGCGAGATGGCTGATAAGGCAACGAATCTGCTTCCTGGTGATACCCATCTTGGCTGTCCGTATGAACGGAGTGTGAAGCGCTGGTTCACGGGGAGTCAGAACATATCCGAGAGGAACGCTCATAGAAGATATTTACCTTGTGCTAATCAGGTAAAGCCTAGGCACTGTCGCTACAAGAAAAGGCACGTGTGAACGATGAACGAAAAGTGTAGCAGTGAAGACGACACTATAGGAGCATCGTCCCAAGTAAGCTCGTTTTGAGAAGGGAGTAATTGTGTGCAAAATTGAAGAGAGTGGGTCCGAGTCCGATGGCGATGGCGACGGTAGTGAGTTAATATTCAGGAGATCATGAGGGCGCGGGCGGCGTTGCTGTCGACGTTGCAAAAGAGATTCTTAATAGGGAACCATGATGGAAGGTGCAAATCACTATCAGATCGGAAATTGAGTTGTGGGATAGAGCTATGTCCTAACGGAAGGTATATGTGGGATACTTGCATGTGGATTTGAATCCGATGCAGGCCGAGTCGGTGTAACAGAGAGCCTAATTTGGATGAGTGGCATCGTGACTTTGATATTAAGACCGGGTACCTGTTATAGCTAACGATCTGGACAATAGCTTGTGGCATGGGGAGTGATTGTATCTATGGCGTGAAATCTTTTTATGTTGGAGGAATGGGTTGAATACTAAGATCGAGAGGCAAGCCTTGTTCGATTTCGGTCGGAGTATTTTGAGTACTTGAACTAAACAAGTAGTAGAATCTAAGGTATAATGATTATATTGAGGCATGAATCGGATATAAGAGCGGTGAGGGGAGCTGTTACGCCTCAGGTGATGCTGAGAGAATTCGCAGCTTGTTCAAGTTGCGACCACTTCACGGAGATGAACCCCCCAAGTGCAACAAGAATAACCCGAAGACGTGTTGGACAGGAGTTGCTGACATCACTGGAACGTTCCACATAAACATGTTGCATTCGCGTGTGTGAAACTGGTTTGCAAATCAAATTGCAATACTTACTTCGACCAATCAAGGATCTATATCTTCATCACCATTATCCCGATCTCGGACAGCGCTTGGTACATCTACTACTATTAATACGAACACTATGTTGTTATAACTTGAATACCCAACATCCCCCACTCGCTCACACCCATCTCTCGAATATGACCTATGTCTCCACTGATCCCAGTTGGTGGCCGTTCATCAATTCGAGTATTTTTCTCTCCTATTGGATAGGTTTGTCGTATCAGTTGGTCGGATGTCTAACATTGACTTGTGGTTTTGCAGTTGCTGCCGGCGTCGTGGTGGCATACGATTGGGGTGAGCAGGACAGTGTTCGAAAACCGCTCATATTCTCATAATATTTCCAGTCCTAACACTCGGACAAGAGGTATGTCGGTGCTATTGCCGGAGTAGCCAACTTGCTAACAATGGTGTCATAGATTGAACTGATCTGGGTGAGTGACAGATCCGAGTTAAAATAAAAACAGGTGAATACAATAAATTCGCGACAGAGGCAACGCTGGTCTCTCATGACTGTCATGTATTTGCTTGTTCGTACCTCATATTATGCTATAGCGTGGTTGGCAAGTTGTGCTGACCTCAAAATGTTCTAGATACGCTATATTGGAATACCATATTCTGTGTATGTGTTTGAGGCCAACAAGTTGGCACTGTACTAATAGCCCATCTCTCGTTATCAGTATCAACGCTCTGGGTATGTCTCATATGCACTGTGTTCGATTATTCTGATCTGCGGCACACAGCAATTATGTCGGTCTCCCTGACAGATGCAGTGAGTATTCCGCAATCATCTTATTCCTATCCAATGAATACACTCATACATAGGGGTGAGTGAGATTCTATTGAACTAGGCTCAACATAACGACTCGACAGGTGTGAGTTGGAGCGTTTGATACTAGTACGACGTGGCCACTGACTGCGTGTTTCAGGTGATATTATAACCTACACGATGAATGGGATAAATGTGGTCGTAACTGCCATGCTGGGTGGTGAGCTGCAATACCTCAGTGATATTGACTCGACTGAAACACGATGCAAGTCGTCATGATTGCTCGCTTGCATGCCATGTATCAGAGATCTAGGAGGATGCTTATCTTCCTTGTTGTCATCTTTCTGGCTGTTAACATCGCCTGCGGAGTACTCGGGATAATAACATTCAAGGATATCGTAGGGGGTAAGCTTTACTTGTTGACTTGAAAAACACCGCTCATTGGACAACCACCAGGGGAGCTGATACTCTCTGGAACGTATATATGCGGCTTTGAATATGAGGGGGATGTCCAGCTTCTGATTTCAATGTTTTGGACGCTCAACGCCATTTGGGAGGTCCTTGCACTGTGTCTTTCAGTCTGGATTGCTATGAAACATTTCTGTGACCTGCGACGACTCGGCCCATCGACAGGATCGACCATAGGGGACTGTTTCAGAGTGCTGATAAAATCTCACGTGCTTTATTTTGCAAGGTGAGCTTGTAATGTAAATGTGTCCGTCTTTTTCTGCTCAAGTTTCACATGTGCTAGCTTTTTTTGCGTCTCTTGCCTCCAGCTTGTCAATCTCTCTCCATCCCTCTTGGTGCGCCGACCTGTCGCTGACGTCTGCTTGTAACCACTGCTCATCATTTCTGTAGAATTCAGATTCTATGGGATTTGAGATACTCAGGGGTGCTATTGAAATTGTATTGACCATACAGTCGTTTGTGCTGGGACCCCGCCTCATCCTTAGCGTTCGAGAATATCATGCAAAAATCGTGGCCAACTCCGACGCAGAAACTAGCATGAATTCGATTGTATTCCAGGAGCGCCTACATGTACCAACTAGCAGTACTGTGTAGGGAAATGCTTGCCGAGTGTTCTGCAGGGAGGAGAAATGTGGTCAAGGATCTGTCGTGCTATTTATTTAAGTTATGCTGTTTCAAAGAATATTTAAGACGAGGCTTATGTAGACAAACCCGTTTCTTGTTGTATCACTCCTGGAAGTCAGTGAACCGCCCGTCCACACTTTTACCAAGTGGCAAGCTGAAATTATCGGCAACGTCTAGAAACCAACCCAGTCCTTGATGGTAAGATATCTGATTCTACGTGTTTGCGGAGTTACGCTGTCTGAGCACACAGCTGATGAAAAGTGACCGTGAAGGATGAACCCCGGATGGCTGTAAGTCATTGGTGCTCAGAGGTGCATTTGTCCATCTGGGCCGAATAGGAATGAATCGCGCGGACTCGTGGTTCGCTTATATGCCTATATCGCAAATGAGCGTGGCAAAGAGATGAGGTGTGTAGAACGGAGAGTAGAGAATTAGAGGATCGGAGCTAACCATTAATGACATCGACCACGATTTTCTCAAATTGTGTAAATACATAAGTTGATCGGACCCGCGCCATCGTAATGTTTTGCCCAAGCGACTGCAAATTGTGTGTTGTGTTTGCGTCCCTGCGATGATCTTTTAAAGCCCATCCTGTTAGGCAAGACCGTCAGATTAAAGCACTGATCGAGATACAGACATACATTCACCATCTGGATCGAACGAAAGGAAAGCGAGGCGGCTCGAAAGTAGAAGAAGCGCGTCTGAGTTCAGACAGTTCTGCAGCATAGTCGGACTCTCGCCTTCAAAATCGCAGACTGTCCAGGCAGAGCGTCATTGCCATTCAAGAGTATTTCGCGCGACCAAGGTATTGAAACCCTTTTGTTTATCCAGCTCCACGAGCATGAAGCAGTAATGAGGAAAAACTGAAATCTGTTCTATCGATACGAGATTTTGTTGTAAGCTTTGAAGCCCACTCAACTGAGTACTGAACAGTGACACACAAAATCGCGTAACTGGCGCGTCCCGCGTTATTTGATTTGCTTTCGGTTCGGTTTTATTGTCTATCTTGAGCAAGCGAGGTATATTCATACCTGAGGCCTGAGTTGTACATAGCGTAGATGGTCAAATACACGTCGTTGTAGCCAGCCTTCGGATAGCCGGAATAATACTACCGGTTATATCCGTTAAGGTTATTGATTCAGTTGTCCGACTTCCAAGTCATCTCAGCAGCTGACGGTGCAGTCACAGCTGCATGTCTCTACATCAGCCAAGCTTCTTTCCGACAACTGCACTAGTATGTTTTAATCCTCGACTTTACATTCGTATTTGCTTAAAGGTCGTAGGACCATGCGGCAGCAGGCCTCGGAGCAGGCGTCGTCGCCGTCCTATGCATGCACCCTCTCGATCTTCTCAAAGTCAAGTTACAGGTAGCAACAAAAAACCCGCAGGGTGGAATCGGAAAAGCCATATGGAACTCTTTGCGTGAAATACACGCCAGTGAAGGGTGGAAAGGGCTGTACCGAGGCGTAGGACCAAATATTGCGGGGAACGCTTCGAGCTGGGGACTCTACTTTCTTTTGTGAGTCACATTTCATCAGTTTCGAAAATTCTTTGTAAGGTACTCATATGCTCGCAGCTACAACATGTTGAAGAAGCGTGCATCCGGAGACGACCCGAATTATAGGATGTCCCCCGGGGCATACCTACTCTGTTCCGCTCAAGCGAGTTCGCCCTTCCGTTCCCTTTTGTTTTTATGTTAGTTTCTCAACTTGGATTCTATTAGGTGCGGTCACAGCTATAATGACCAACCCTATATGGGTTGTGAAAGTGCGTATGTTTACGACGCGTGCCGATTCACCGACGTCATATCGTAGCCTCTCAGGTACGCTCGCCTTCTTATCTTCGCTTTGGTTTGTTAAACATACCGTGTCATATCAGACGGTATTACTTCGATATGGAAGCACGAAGGCTTCGCTGGCCTGTGGAAAGGGACCAGTTTGGCCTTGGTCGGTGTCAGCAACGGCGCGGTGCAGTTCATGGCATACGAAGAGATGAAACGATGGGGTTTCGAACAAAAACGAAAACGGTTTGCAAAGGCCGGAAAGGTGATGGGACCGGAGGACGACAAGCTCGTGAGTTCGTCACCTTTTTCTTTGCCTCGCATCTAAAATATTGGCCAGTCAAACACTTCCTACACATTAATGTCCGGTGCTAGCAAGCTCTGGGCTCTTGCGCTTACTTATCCATACCAAGTCATTCGTTCTCGAATACAGGTGAGGCGATTCTTGTTCGCTGCATCGCATCTTCATCCCCATTTTAGAACAATGCCACCACTCACTTATACCCCGACATATCGACCACCATCAAACGCACTTGGCAAGGCGAAAGGATTCGCGGGTTCTATCGTGGGATGGGGACGAACCTCGTACGCGTTCTTCCTGGGACTTGCGTCACTTTTGTTGTATACGAGAACCTTGCATGGTTATTACGGACATCTGCGGCGCGAAGGGAAGCAAAAAGACGAGACCCAACTACCGAGGAGGATTGAATCCACAAAAATATCTTAGTTAATAAACAGCGCGCCTCCTCGCTATTAGAAAAAGTAGCTTCCTCCAAAGTCATTTTTCATTCCCTGATAGGTAAAATCTACACCCCGAGCAAAGGTTCAGCCTTACAGACTTGGACCCTCGGCCTACTGCTTGGTAGGCACCTTCTGCACGACTCTGGCTCGATCGAGTTCAGGTTTGTACCCCCGCGAAGCTGTTCCTCCAAGTATCATGCCATCGCGGCCTTTCCTGCGAACACCATCCGACGTGTAGATTCATCGCTAGCATTCGTATTGTCATTCATGTATATAGAGTACACACTTCGTAAGACAGTCATATATTGTACGTGAATCGAGCGTATCACACCACCGCCTCAGCCCTGCATAAAGTAGTCAGCATGCGGAACAGCTTGGTCACCATAAACAGAAGTTGGTCAAAATAACTATAACTGCAACAGAGGTCTCGGCATAAAACGCCCCTCCCTCACCCATTTGCACCACTCCTCAAAACGAGGGGAAGCACAGAGTAAAAGAGTGACTGGATGCTTCTGCATCCCCATGCTCCCGTGATGTAAGATTCATCCTACCGGCCAACTTGGATAAAAATGATACTCACATGGTAAAGGCGCAGAACATCGAGACCACTGGCAGTAACAGTTGCATGTGTTAGCTTAGCATCTGTGAAAGCAGAAGCAATGATCAGCGATACAGCTTAACATCAATCAACAAAGAAATGAGAAGCATCGATCAAATAACTATAACCTCACGTATCACTGCGCAGAAGCGCCCACTCCTGCACCTGTATATGCAGGCAGCCTCAATACGAGCCCACCTGCTAGGCGATGAAGGGACTGGATTGTAAGTCCCTGCGCTCGTGGAAGGTAGGGGTATCATCATGTCGATGCCCTCTTTCACATGAAAGAAATACAGGGAGAAAAATCCTACTCACCAGTATCGATCGGTGCATGAGAGACCAACAGAGATCATCCAGAAAAAAATCGTTAAAAAGCGAGTATATTTGTCCTTGTTGTGCAAAGACTTTGACATTCAACAGGGACAAACAACCGCTAGCTCTTGCAAGCATTTACCGATCTAGAATCTGGACGCTGAAACGGCATTGAGGCCTAGGTGAGGTTCGTTTGGGTGTTCCCGTGCATGATATTTCAGTGCTAATAAATTTCATGGCACATAGGTGTTATGTTCACTTCTGCTGTATTTCGGACATTGACACTCTCGTGTCACCGAATACTACCTCCATGCCGCAAGGTTGAAGTGCTCAAGTCTCTCTGGTCTCCAAACTTCTCCTTTGTGCGGACATACGCCTCGGCTGGCCCAGCACGCCGCACTGGCGATGACAAAATACCCTTTCGGGTCGTTCGCCTCGTCCATCCAGAAACGGGCAAACTCGAACCCCCTACTCGTCTTTCTGACGTTCTCGAATCTGTGGACCTGAAGGCTTTTCGAGTGGAGTTGGTCACGGAAGAGCCAGAGCCTATCGTAAAGATTGTGGACAGACGCGACTCATACCAGAAGTGGAAGGAGCAGAAGAAGGCGTTCAGGAAGGGCGTGAAGGCAGGAGAGCAGAAAGAGATACAGATCACTTGGGGCGTCGAAAATGGAGATTTGAAGCACAAAATCACAAAAGCACGCGCAGAACTGGAGAAGGGATACCGAGTGGACATCGTCATTACACCGAGGAAAGGTCAGAAATTGCCCAAGCCCGATGAAATGGCAGCTCGCGCATCGGAGATCGCGTCAATGCTACTAGACATTGCAAAGGAGTGGAAAACACGCGACGTTCAGAAAACTACCACTGTAATGTCGTTCCAAAAAACGCCGTCATGACAAGGAAATGTATAGTTCCTAGTTGTGGGCAGATAGATATTATACACATTTATCGTACTTTTCCTCCACTCTCTAACTTTCGTCTCCATCTGTGCTTCCACCAATACCTCCTACCAAGAGCCCTCCATATCGTCCGTCGAACAGGTAGACCACGCGTCTTCAGTGTCCGTAGCGCGTGCGGTCGGAAAGGAGACCTACGCAACTTTGGGAATGCAAATGGCTGCTCATTAAGCTCTGGCCGATGTCGATGTTCCTCGAAGCCATAAGGCCACTGTCCGACAAAAAAGCGTCTGAAGCCTGAAGGAACCTTGAATCCAAGAGCATGCATTTCCTTCACAATTCTCCCTAGGAAGGGATTCCAGTTTCTGGGCCTCACGCCTAACCTAGAGAACTGGACGTTTCCAAGGGTTACCTTGCGTCGCCAGTGCGCAGGGTTAGTACGGCTTGACCGCTGGAAAGTCCTAGGTTGCCGACCGAACATATCAAGGGCAGCATTGAAGAAACGAGCGTCTGGGCGAGGAGGATTGAGAGTAGCTTTGTCCACATTCTGCAGCTCAGACCAGCAATTCCATACAGCCATTCCAGCATGACACATGATTCGATACAGCGTCGCACCCATGAGTAACGCAAGAGTGCGACGGGATCTGTGTTTGCGAGCAGCCGCATTTTGAGCAAGTACATAGCTCGCCCAACCTCGCACAATGTTACCACCAATCTTGGGAGCCCAGTCATTTGTCCTAGGCCTGGAGGTGCAGCGCAGCTCAAGACCGCGCCGCGCTTCGGCGCCATAACATTGCAGCATTATGGTATACGCTTGGATGGGCAAGCACCACGGCTTCATAGGATTGCCATCAATTCCAATGGCACCCGTCAAGCTTGCACGCTCGGCTTGCTTTGCAAGCAACCACACGCGCTCCGCGAGCCCTGTTTTCCCAGCCTTGCTAAGAGCATTGAGGACAGCGATGAAAAACCACGGTCCGAGGGAGACAGCGCGCATGAGACGCATCTGGCGGGTTTGCATCCGTACAAGAGCCAGTTGCTCATCCGTAACAGAGCCCCATGATGGGTGGTCAATGATGGATAGCTCGGGGAGAACATGGAAAATGATGTCGGCAACGACGTCGGGGTTCCCTGTGGCTGTGATATGCTGGATGTAGCTCGTGAGCGTGAACGCGTCGGCCTTAAGTGGTTTCTCCAAGGCTGGTAGTCCAGCCTTCTGATGTTTCAGGGTGACAGCCCACTTGGACTCTGCTCTGTTTACATCCGGTCGATTAGGAGCGACTACCAGTGATGGTGGCGGCTGTACCATAATGGCATGTCGATTGTTCTCTGTGAGCCCACGTAGTCGTTCGAGGGCAGACTCAGTGAGGTCGTTCCGCCTCAACAATGAACCGGACCTGATAATCACGTTGTATGTTGTGATGTCTGGCCTTAAAGGTGGATTGCGCTTGTGTTCCATGTGATATAGTAGTCTTTTTGCAAGAGAAATGGATTGTCGATGGCGCAATGCGTAGTGTAGGAGGGCGTTGTAGGATTCAAGATTAAGCGGAGGCATGATGTCAAATTGTTCTGGGCCGGCGCCTTTGGATGAACTTGAGAGGTCGCTTGCCAGTCGCAGAATAACACGATGGGTATACTCATAAGGTTGTACCCGGGCTCTCTTGCCGAACTCTGTAACCCATACTTTGTCTGGATCTTTGGGTACTGAATAAAGGGTGCGTATTACGGAGGATACGTCCGTGTAAGGAAGTGACCGCGCATCGAGAAGGCTGGCAATATTACAGAGCGCTTGAAGAGCTGCTTCACGCCGTGACCGATTAGACTCCTCTGCTGGATCAAGCATGATTTCTTTCTGCGCCTTGGAGAGTATCATCTTTAGTATGCGTTTTGAAGGAGGGCTGCCGTGTAGTGATCCAAATCCATGCCGAGGTGGAAGCGCCTGAGTCCATGTTGCCTCCTGTTCTCGTACTTGGGTGGCTGCTCGTTTCATCTCCCAGTCTTTGATCAGCAGTACGAACAACAGCGACGCAACGATAATTTCGCCCTGAACGAGACAAATATTGATGATGAACTGGTAGGTGTTCTCATAACAGCGTTGTCGATGCTGCCGTGCATGGAGAAGAAGCTTAAGAGCAAGGCGCGTGCCTTGGTCTTCGACCTGCTTCGGTTTGATACACGATGGGTCTCGCTGTGAGGGTCTTCGAGCCTGTAAGAATTTGCCATCGTTGGCTCGTTCCGTTTGACACTGAATAACTGCGTGCAGCGTGGAAGCACGGATATGAGTTCCGTCTTGCATGAGCTGCTCTGCAAGTTGACGTGCCCTCAACGACATGCGTTGGCGTACGAAATGGTGCAATAAACAATGGGCAGACAGAGCTGGTGAGACGGGTTGACCAAAGTCGATAGGTTCGTAGTCGAGTTTTGGTATGAGTAACCCCCCACCCTTATCAGTAGAAGGCTGCGGAGGAAGGTTGGAACGGCGCAGAGAGTTGACTATGAACGACGCGTCGGTAATAGCACCATTCGCGCAAGACATTCGGACAGCACGGGCTGCGGCAAGGGATATTTCGGAAGCTGTTGCAGGCGAAGGTGGCGAAGCAGAGTCACCAGCCTCTTGGGTATCGTCATGAGAGGAGCGCGGAAGCAGACGTGCTTGCGGTGGAGAAAAATATTTGCAAGAAAGTGAAAATGATCTGTGCAGGGGTGAATGCGGTCGGTAAGGTTGAACAACCTTTGACGGCGGACGAATGCAAGAGGCCAATCCCCTCACAGGGAGAGTCGCATGGCTGGTATGGGATCGAAAACTATAGGCGGCTTGTGACCAAATCCATTGCATGTGTCTTTCATGCCTACCAGCATATTTAAATTAGACATCCCATGTACATGATATTTCAACACTCACCAGCTTGCCTAAAGGCAGTCTTGATTAACCAAGTAATTTCAGACTATTCCGCAGCCTTTTGCAAAAATTTGGCTAAGTCTTGCGGACGACGTTGTCAGTGCTCAGCGTCACTTTGATGTTCCTCGTCGTACAAGGTTTTGAAGGTTATAACCAGGAAAGGCAACTTCCGATTCACGTGACAATTGCGCTACTTGGGAAATCTGGAAGAAATAAAATTCGAAGGTCAGCGTCTAACTTACCAGACGGCGACGTCCAAAGAATCGCAGAACACAGTTGCTAATTTTTGGCTGAAACATGAGCTACGATAGACCACACTACGACAGACCTCATCGTGGGGGCGGAAATCGTCGACGTAACAAAGGTGAGGCATGTCGCGCATGAACAAACAACTTGAACCAATATGTGGACCAGACGATTATGATGCGCACGACAGGCGAAGGGAATCCTTCGAATCCCCTGAGCAGATACTCAAGAATACAATTATAAAGCTGGGAGAAGTGGTATGTCTAGTCTCGTACCAAATGTTGTTGTCACCGACACTCATGAATGGCTGTTTCAGGACGCCATCCAAGAACTACCGCGACTAGCGAAACAAATCCGTGAACAGGTGCCACTTTCGGTGCCAGTCATATCTGAGGGCATTCGGATAGCGTGAATGCATTATCTGTTCTTTCTCGAATTTTGCTAACGACGACTCAGTGTGACTGAACAGCCGTACAAAATTCCCTACTACGCAGCCCTTCTCCGCCTCTTGCACGATCCAACTGAAGGCGAAAATGCCGAATCTTCCACAAGTTCGTCTCTTGGAAAGCAGGTCCTGGAAGATTTTTGGAAGGGCTTCCAGGGGTACTTAGACAAGCTTGCATGGAGAGATGTTCGACAATGTGTGAGCGTTGTTTCCAGACCTCAGAGTTTACCATCCCCTTATTAGTGATACATAGATTCACTTCTTTGCGCACTTGACGGTGGCTCAAGTCATCTCCATCGAATCCATGTCTGCACTCCTCCAGTCGTTCGCTGCTGTCCTCGACGAGTTTGGTGTTTCCTACGGACGCGGCAGAAACGCAGCTCTCTGTGCTATTGAAGGTCTGATAATCGTGCGCCATTTTCTTTGGAATATGTCAAGCATTCCAGTGACTCTTTTCGTAGAGCGGTGCCGTAATGGCGAAGAGCTCATCTTCCAACACTACTGAGATAATCAAGACCGTCCAAAATTACAATGATTCTATCTACTCACCCAAGCTGCTTGTCCAGCCCTCAATGAGTTTGTTTACAGAATCCAGGTCTATGGAGAACGCTGATGAGGTTCGCTTTTTCATTGCACATCAGAATGCAACTAATCTAGTGTGAAGGTCCTTGATACGGGACTCTTCGTGCTGAAATCTCTTGACTCCTCTGAATTTGTAGAAGCATCTGAGAGCTTTCCGCAGCCCTACCTTGATTTCCCGGATTTAGATCCCACAGTATCTGCTCCTTTCGAGTTGCCCGCAATACTGGTACCGCCTGAAGTCATTGAACTTGACGGGCTGGCTACAGATGCTGGCGAAGACGCCCAGGTCAAGAAAGAAGACTGGCCACAGTATTTCTTCCACCTGTTTGACAACGAGGTGCGTGTTCCTTTTCTCAGGACTAACAATGTATTAACACACATGACTTTAGACGACGCCCGACCCTGCCACGCCCGCTGGATTTCTAGTACGGTCCCAAATCCTTGATACGATCGACATATTCGAAGTTAATCGCAAAGAATGCGCCCGTCTCCTCCTCGAGTATCCAAAATGGTGTGTCCCTGGTACATTTAAGCCAAAACCTGGGGCTCCTGAGCCTGAATTTGAATCTGGGAAGAATTGGCAGTTGGAGAGCACTGTCATAGAGGTAAAGCCCAGTTCGCCTTTGTTTCGTATTGTCTGACCTACTTCATTAGACCGTCTTAGGTTCTCTTTACCTCCTCCCGGAATCGACGCATAAAACAGTCTACCACATTGCCCTGATTACCGAGCTGTGCAAGCTCTCGCCGTCAACTGTCGGCCCCGCCGTTGGGAAGTCAATACGCAAGTTGTACACTGCTCTTGGGGACGGGTTTGATGTGGAGAACGCTCGACGCTTTGCAGAGTGGTTCGCGGTACACATGAGCAATTTCGGTTTCCAGTGGGTTTGGAAAGAATGGTCAATGCTTTGCAAATCATCCTGCATGAGCCAGAATGCTGAAATGTCTTCGCAGGTTACTCGACTTGGAGCTGTCAGAGCAGCACCCTAAGCGCACCTTCATACGCCGAGCACTGGAGTTCGAGATACGGTTGTCGTACCATGACCGAGTATTGAAGACTTTGCCGGAGCCTATGCAAAACGACACCAGCGTCATTTCTGATCAGACTCCAGGACCGGCCTTTGAATACGAGGACCCAAGTATGCTCCTTTACTGCGTGTATCCTTGTTGTTAACGTTCGTCTATAGCTCATCCGCACTACGATACTGCCCAATCAATCCTTTCTCTTCTGCGTGGACGCTCCAAAGCCAACGAAGTGCTATCGCACATCGAGTCGCTGAAGACCACTCTTGAGTCCTCAGGTACTCACCTACACGTAGACAACACTATTCGGTCGATCTCGATTCATTGCCTACTCTCTATTGGCTCACGGTCCTTCTCGCATCTCCTCAACGCAATTGAGCGCTACCTGCCACTCCTCCGAGGGCTTGCCGGCACCGATGCAGAGTCTAAGCAAGATATTCTCAGCGCTGTCGCATCGTTCTGGCATTTGAATCGACAGATGGTGAATATTGTGTTTGACAAACTCATGCAGTACCAGATTGTCGACCCCACGGACGTGGTTGGTTGGACGTTTGAGAATGTTGGAGGGGATGCGCATCTCAGCGGGATGCGGCCGATGAGCCTGAGCGCATTTGAATGGGACTTGTTGAGAGGCGCATTGGACAAAGCGAATGGCAGAGTCATGGTTGCGAGGAGGAAGGTCGCTGCGCTGAGAAAGGAGCACGATGATAGCGTTGCGCGGGTAAAGGCGAGTGTTGGTGCAGACGTTGGATCCATCGAGATGGATGCCGATGTGAAGCCTTTCAAGCAAGGTACTCTTCAGCAAGCCACCATTCTTACTTCGGGCTGACCAGATCGTCTCAGATGATTCCGCCTCAGAGAACCCTCAGTTGACAGTGGCACTCAAGGCATTCGCCAGCCTCACCCGCGAGCAAAAAGGAGCTTTGGCACGAACAATTGAAGGCTTTGTGTCGTGCTTAGCACCATCCCCATCTGCAGGGCGCCAAAATCCTCATGCTGAGACAGTGATCACAGAGCAAGCTTGGGAAACACGAGTCACATGGACCGCAGATGAATGGAACACGTGGGAGACGTGGGGTTGGTATCGACACTTTTGCAGAACGGCAAGTATTTCTGAAAGACTGGTGTTCATAGACTGACAATTATGTTTGGCATAGTACTCTCCCTACTTGCGAAACTACCAAGAGACGTTGGGTACAGTCGGGTTTGCCAAGATTGAAGGCTCGACGAGTCCTGCTGCTAAGCTGATGAAAAAGACTTGGGGTATGGCGACTGGTCAAGAATCATAATGGATTTCGGTCCTTTGGTGTTGTTGTACATATGTGCACACGTGTATACAAGGTCGTCATTGCTATCGTAAGAAAAGGTCAGGTTTCTTCATCGTACTAGCACGGTGCGCAAAAAATTGCGTAGTAGGGCACGATGGCGATATCCTGCGATAGAATTGAACAGTGTACAGAAGCAGCGCCTCAAGAGATGACTTTGACGTCTCGTCACACGCGACAGCAATGTTGTATGATTTTATGCGTCAATCTCAAGCGCTTTGAGTTGGAGTCAGAATGGGAGCCGAAGGATGGAAGGCCTAGCCGGGTATTGCAATAAAGCAGTCATAATTTACATAGCTAAATCCTTTTATTTGATGAACTTCGCCATGAATTTTCTGCGTTCGAGACGGTCAGAGGCAACGCAGCAATGAGGTATATCGGACGCACTTGTGGAATTCTGTCCGTAGCAGGTCGTTGACGAACTGGCCAGATTTGTCTTTCTGATTCGCCGCCTGATTCTTAAATATTAAGTCTGAAACGAACAACGTTAGCATAGGACAAATGGTAAAAGAAACTGGGGCTCACCATCATCCCATCTCCGTTTCACGGAGAAAGTCCCTGGTACAGTTGTATTTATGCCAGGTGACTGGCCTAATGCTGCAGCAAGATTAAGGAGAGGATTCGAGGTAGCTATCTCGGCTTCTCGTGCCACTGCAGCACTCGCGTTCTGTTCACGCTCTTGACGGGCTTTCTCTTCTGCCCGTTCTTTCTTAATCTTCTCCAACTCACGCATCAACTCAGCGGTCTCATCTTCCTCATCCGACTCTTCTTCGCTGTAAATTTCGTTGTCAAGGAGTAACACCCAATGAAGTCCAAGGAGGGACGCTCACCTTTCCTCGTCCTGCTCTTCCCCATTCTCCTGCCCTCTAGACTCAGTACCTTCCTCTTTCTCATCATCGTCGTCGTCGTCCTTATCCAGCTCCAGAGCTTCCTCCAATAACTTCCTCCTCTTGTTGACTTCATCCCCCGCTGCCTCCGTCGCGTTTCCATTTGTGAGCGGTAGCGGTGGTTTCCCCTCTGCTTTTCGCTTCTTGTTCCGTGCTTCTTCCTCCGCTGTTAGTAGCTCCGCGCGTAAGTCTCTCCGTGCGACGTCCCCAACGGACGTTTGTCCAGCTTGCCTATCATATCGTAAGTTCCATAACTCGAAGACTGTAAACATGTATACTAGTGCTTACCGGAATTTGAGCTTCGTGTGTGCAGCCATGTCTCGGACAGAGAACTGGCGAGAGCCACCTTTAACATCGCGAGCTTGAGCAGGATCCCATGTCGGTCTATGTGCTGTGGACATTGTAGTGAAAGTCGACGGAGTGTGCTGAGTAGCTTCAAGTGGCTTCAACTTAGCTGTATGCAACTCAGTATCGGCGTGTCGGCACGAATTCTAAACTCAGCATTTAGTTCCGACAACCGTGATCTCACTTGCCGAGATTCTGCCGACTGCTCTATCATCGTTCTAATTTGTATTTCTATCTCTACTTATGTAGGATGCTCGTGCGCAACCTTCAAGCAGCTTCTACGGTTTATTGACGCCACCAACATAAACAGATCTGTGTGCTCTGTCGTCCAGTTATTCAATGTCTAGTTCGGATGCAGAGGATGACGAGGTCGATGTCAATGGACTGGCCGTGCATGGCCTCACAGACGCGCCTGACAGCTATATAGGTTACCTTCCATCATTTCGTGCACACTTGCGAGATACCAAAGCCCACCTCATCGGCTCTATCCCCTTTGATGACGCCACCCATCCCGTTCCCTCAACCCGGTTTACGCCCCCTCCACATAGTATTAATCAAGATAGCGTTCCCTCTTCTCCTGAACAAGTCGAAGAGAGCTCCGAACTACCACCACGCAAATCAAAACCAACGATCTGGAGTTCCTCACTCTCTTCTTGGTCTCAATTAGAGGTAGACGCATTCTTTCACGCGTTGTCGGTCTATTCTCGCTGGCGGCCAGACTTGATCGCAGAGGCTGTAAAGACCAAAGGCGAGGTCGAAATTGTAGAGTTCCTCATTACTCTGGATTCCCATGCTACCGAGACTGGTGACATCATGTCGACTTCCCCTGCCGCGATTGAAGTATCGGATGAGTGGATAGTCGCGGAAGAGGCAATGGCTGCTGCTCTGACCGTTGAAGAGGGTCGCGGTGAACTTCAGCAACTGGAGGCGCTAAGGAGAAAGAGGGTAAGGGACGCGAAGGCGGATATGATCCCGAGAGGAAAACGGAGGCGTGTCACAGTCGAAGTTGGCGCAGACGAACTCATGTCGTGTGAGGATTCAGAGAGGGATGATTTCGAGGGCGATTCGATGAGCGTTGAGGTCGTCAAGGGAAAGGCTCGCTTCGAAAAATGGTACGCGCGTAAGACCGCTGCTTGGGAACGAGACGATCTGTTTAAGAAGCTCGACGACATGCATTTGCAAGTCTTGGATACAATGCTGCGCGAGGATGAGGAGGCACAGAAGGGAAAGAGCCTAAGCCGTGAAGGGAGTGCTGATGTGATCTCGCAGGACTTGGACACGAGAGTACTCTCTCCCACGTCTCGCCGACGCCATACAAAGCGACTCTACATGCGGCGAAAGCGTGCGCAGCTCCGAGGCGAAGATGTGGTACCAGTGACCCTCGCAAGAATGAAGCCTGGGAGGAAGGGAAAAGAAAAGGGAGCTCAAGTGGTGGAAGAGACCGAGAAAGAGGAAGTGTCGCCCTCTGGGAAAGAAATTGGGAATAGGAAGGCAATGACTCCAGATCTTACTTATCCTGATTCCCAAACCGATGACGATGACGGCGGGGACGCGGGCACGGCGACCACCAAGAAGCATATTAACGTGGGTGGAAAAACGCGCTACCAAAAAATCAGGTCCGATTTCGAAAATGCTGGGATCAATGCAACCTATCTCGGTGAACACGGTATGGATCTTTTCCATCTCGGGCGTTTGGGAAAGCTCATGGGGTACGTCTTGATCACGAATCTTATCGCTGTTTTCTCATTCATTGTGGTACAGGATGTACAAATCGCTCGAGGAATGTCCTGAGGATGATGTCGGCAACATCTTTATCTCCTCAGAGTTAATACGGTACCTTCAAGCATCGGTAGTTGCGTTTATGACGGATGTCGTACACCGTGCGACCGTGTGGAAGGAACAGGCTAATGAACTCAAGGGCCAGAAGAAGGTTTGGAAGGGCGCGCTGCACCAGGTAAATAATGTTCCATTCCTACATTCCAGCCAACTTATCCGTGTCCTCGTGTCTACCAGATAAACCAACGAGCTGTCGAGCATGCATTAAAGACAATCGGTGTGAGGACCTTGAGTCAGCAAGAGCACTTCTCAAGGCTCCTTGATCAGTACGATTTATCCCCGGACAAACGGAGGCGCAAGCCAAAATCTAGCACCCCCGAAGATGTGGAGGACGAGCGAGCGCGTACTGCCGGACATTCTCCCGACGCCGAAAGTTATGACATTGCACTCTCGCCTCATCGTGCAATATACACGCCTGCATTTCTCGCTCCCGCCTCGTTTGATATCGGTGTTGTGGACACTTTCTTACCGGGTTATGATGGACAGCTTCCATCGAGAGCCCTGATCAACGAGGATTCACGCGATGCGATGGAGGAGTCGTTACTCTCGAATGAGACAGACGAGGAGGCTCTAGAAGACGAGTTGATGGAGGACGAGATGTTGGATCAGGTTGATGTGGAAACTGGTAAGAAAGTTGAAGGGCAGCTATGGGCCGAAGTCGAAAGAGAAGAGGGAGACGATGCAAGCGTGACGTCGGAGCAATGATATTTGAGTGTGGATAATAAACTCTAGCTACCCCATCACTTTATAATCGATTAATACCTATAGTACATGTTGTCAAATAACCTGTCGTAGGGCCTAATCTTAGGTTGACTAGACAATTTCCGACCTTTAATAGAGAGCAATATGCTGAGACCGAGAGAGCACAGGCGAGCACACTTCATTTACTAGTTATTTCCTCAGCAGATCACAAGGATCATGTCCGTGATACCTTTTGTACATCTTATGCTATTATCTTTAAGCGTCTGGAGTCTCCCCGACGTCATAATGTCAATCCAGTTTTGCTTGACCATTTCGACGTGTCAGCCCATCGGGAGCATCATGTAACGTCCCAGCACCAAGCTCGTTCTGAGTCAAAATGCATGGCTGTGAGAGATACATACATAAACATGCGCCGAATCAAGAATCGAGAGGGGATCACCGAGTATATCGCAAAGCGTCGCGAGGGGTTATTCAGAGCATTCATCCATGTAACTGAAATTGCTGTATGATTACTTACTTTAGATCATGCGATCAAAATACGAAGGGTACAGGTATGCCCGGAGGGCCATTGCGAATAAAACCATGTCACTTGTATGAGCTTGTATGTCACATCAGGTTTCCGAGTCGACACCGCACGTTGCCGAAACGTTCGTGCTCGTTGTGAGCAACGGTCAGCTCGACTACTGCAGCACCACTTCATGCTACCCGTTGTCCAGCATGTACAGTGCTAGTCTCGAATCTGTCCGACGGCTCGCGTCGACGCCATGTGTGCCCTCCACTTAAGCCCAAGGTTTTGGTGCTCTTGGACAATTCCAGCTGTACACAGCTGTCTCAAGAGTGTGGACACGATGTTGAAGATAGAAAGCAACAAGCTTCTATGCGTGCACGACAAAAAAGCTGAGTATTTGACGCTGTGTAGTAAGTTGTTGGAGATGGAGGCTAGCGCGATTCTGGAGGGATGGATGCGCCTGGTATTGTGGACGGCGCTTTGAGTATTTACAAGACGCTGCCTCAGGCTGTTGCAAGTGGGTTGTATGTCGTTGGCGTGATTTAGCTGATGGTGTGGTTTTGTAGAGCGCAAGGTGTTGGAGGATCAGCTGGATGTAGGGGACCATAATGAAGATAGGAACGAAACTACATACCTCAATCTTCAGGGAAAGAAAGATGGTAAGTGTATATTGCCTTGTTGCCTGTTCCGACTCCTGACACTTGTATTTAGAAGACGTATGGAGTGAAGATTTCGCGTACCTCGAGATTCTGGCGAAGGACTCGGAAGCCTGAGGAGGTTCGTCATAATTCCCTGATTTCAACCTACCACTCACACAAACATCCTAGGATGTGCTTATGGAGGTGGTGACGATGGCGAGTAGTTGAGCTTGTAATCGTCTTTTCTAGCTATCGTGGCTGTATCGCTTCGATGCGTTATTGACGTACGCTTTGCATATAAGACGAAATGTTTGCTTAAGCTTGTTGTGGCTATTGACGTCAAGGGGACCGACTCGGAGTCCCCTTTCAACCCTTCATACGCAAACGTCTTTATGTAGCACGCTTTGGTCTGCTTTCCTCGATAGACATGGCATGAAGCTTTTGAATTATAACGAAATTCATTGCTCTTTGGAGGCACCTATTTCTAGTTAGATTGAAACAAATTTAAGGCAGGGTATTGCTTAAGGCCCCAGCTGACATCGGGGTGACTGATACAAAAATTTCGAAGTACTACTTCGAGCCATTATGGTACTACCTGAACACAGATCACCAAAACAGTAACACGTTGTAGGCTCGTGACCAGCCTGGCGTATACTACCCCGGATACTCGAGTGGTGTAGCCAGGCTGGTCGATCTCGGAGTGGCGAAGCGAGGAGTTTGAAATTTAGCAGGTGCCGGTCGTGCTGGTGATACTCAATCGTATGTGGTACAACTTATGCGTCTACCGTCGTTCAGACTGTATATAGTATGTCAAGTTTTAACGATGAGTTCCGTACGACCTTGATCGCTCGCTGCTCGAGATACGATTGAAGATCTCTCGACGGACTTTACGAGTGCCCCCTCAATGACACAACACCAACAAGTTCTCGAGGCCTTCTCGCAACTCGATCTTATTTCCCAAGGATAACTTGAACAACGTCCGATCGACATTCTGATGTTTGTTCTCCTTCACAATTGGCACCGTCTGCATAGCTGACAGAAGAATGCGACGTAGCAACGGAGTGGTTTCTTGTAACGGCTCTGTCAACAACGTGTTGAGATTAAATGAGAGGAGTAGTTCGGGGGGTGACATCTTTTGACGACATTGTGAAAAATATGTTTAGCGGCCTCCATCTCGCCATCAACCTCGTCAACAACCATCGCAATAGCAAGGGCAATAGCAAGGGGTCGTAGACTGACACGAAGTTGCTCACTCGCTCGCTCGTCGGTGCTCAACACATTAAGAAATTGCACAAGTACCTTGCTCCGAAAAAACCCTTCCCTCCAAGTTGCCATGGAGGGACTTTGTGAGATCGAGTGCAATGAGGTCCGTGAACGTCATCCGCAATCCACGAAGTATCTTGAGGACAGCGAAAAATTTTGCTTCCTCGTCCAGGCTGGACTCGGAAGGATCGACCATAGGCTCCAAGCCAAAGGTTCAGGCTGCATCATGGGTGGGTATAATGCATAAAATGGTATCATTTGATTGTCCTAGTTAACATTTAGTACTGCTGCTCGATGTACTATGATCAGTGAGAGGCATACGATACTTTGTACGATGTGAATGAAGGAACTTTGTATGGTCAGCGCAGTCCAAGTACAATGACTACCCAAAGCGGCACGACTGGCATCTGCCAAATTTCAAACTCCTCGCTTCGCCTGCTCCGAGTTCGACCAGTCTGACTACGTCAAAAAATTCTCACCATCTCAAATTGACGCATAGTCAGACTGGTTACGAGTCTAAATACGTTGATCATATTACACATATTTCTCCAGCATAGCTATAAGCCCACCACTTACATGCTCAGGCCTCCCAGTGAGAACCGGCCCTCACCATATCGACGGAAAACGACGGATATATTTACAAATATGCTCAAAGCTATGCAAATCGTGAATTTCACATATATTTAGAAAGTTGACGTGCGTTATGTTTGATCAACACAACCATTTTGTCGATGTCTTGCACATATTAATCAATCAACATGACGTGAGTTACTCGTTCGTGCTGCTTTTGACTTGGTAAGCGTATACGAAATGTTAATGATCGATTGCACGCACTCATGAAAGCTTAAACATGTACCCATGATGTTGCGCAGTTTTTCGACGACCAATTTGGCCGCTGTCCAAAAGTAGTGGCGCCGCGCACCATACAACTTGAACTCCTCGATAAGCACATATACTGAAGGATATGTCCACCGCATTCATTTATTGCGGATGTGTATGTGAAGTAGCCGATTCTGACCCGGGCAGGTATATAAGCTCTGCTGAATTTCGTTCTCAGAGGACTCGACCAGCAACTATTTGCCCCTCTTTCAACTTTCGCACTCCTCATCAGTTGAAACTTGTAACTGTATTTTGGAAGCTATGGATTCTCGCCCAAAGATGATATACCTCCCAGACACTATGATCAACTGGCCCTGGCCTCGTACCATCAATCCTCATTACGAAGATGTGAAAGCTGAAATCGATGCTTCGATCCGTGATATCAAGGCTCTGGGTCCTGAGTCACTGGCAGCATTCGATAAATGCGATACTGGTTCGACTTATATCACTAGCTCTCGTTTATAACGATGGTTGACACGTGCTGTGCTTATAGCCTTATTAATAGCGCTAGCTTATCCCAATGTACCAAGAGGTAAGTGTTTGACCCCTAGCGATTCACGTGTCACAGAACTCTGATTCTATTCTTGAAAAAATAGAGCACCTCCGGGTCAGCTGTGACATGATGAATTCTTTCTTGTTTGTGGATGAATACACCAGCATCGACAACAGGACAGGCGTCAAGGAAATTGTGAATATCGTGATCGATGCCCTACACAATCCTCATAAGATACGTCCGGAAGGCGAATGCATCCTTGGGGAAATCATGCGGCAGTAAGTGCTTCTGAATTGATTGATGATCATCTGAAGCCCAAGGCGTTTTTATATAGATTTTGGGCTCGTGCGATCCAATCCGCAAGCCTGTCTTCTCAGCGTCACTTCCTTGAAACCTATACTGCATACCTTCATGGAGTGGCTGCCGAGGCTCTTGACCATGAACAAGGTCATAGGCGCAGTATCGACGACTACCTGAAGCTCCGGCGGTATACGGCTGGTCTGAAACCATGTTTATTCATAAATGAAATGGAGATGGGCCTTCCTGATGAAGTGTTCTACCATCCCGTCATTATGGATCTTGCTGAATGCACCACAAACTTAGTTCTGATCGACAATGTAAATCTGTGTTGAGAACGTCTTGGTTTGCGGTACGCTCACGATCTTCACAGGACATGATCTCGTACAACAAAGAGCAAGCGGCTAACGATGACCATAACTTGGTCAGTATCGTTATGTTGGAACTTGGCCTCGACATAAGCGGTGCAATGGCTTGGGCAGCGCATTATCACGCCGAAGTTGGGAAACGATTCATCGAGGGTCTTGCGAAGGTTCCTTCATGGGGACCTTCCGTCGACGTCCTAGTCAAAGAGTATCTTGATGGGATGGCAATGTGGGCTCGAGCAAACCATTCTTGGGGTTACGAAACTCAGAGGTAATATGAATTTTCCCATTGGTAGCCGCATCACTTAACCCGATTGGAATCGCAGGTACTGGGGTCCCACCACTGGCATGCGCCCGGAAATACAGAAAACTAGGCTTGTCCCGTTGTTGCCAAGGCCCGACCGGAAGCCACGTAAATAGGAGTCTATTCAGATACAAAGTTCTTTCTACAGAATCTGGCGCTAACTTTTCTTGTACCTCCCGTATTTCGTTGTGATATGTTACTACTATGCTTCTCACTCGGTCACTCATAGATGCCGTTCTTGTCGTCCCATTTCTCTGGCTTTCAGTCGACTACTACTTTCCATAATAGTCATTGTTGGACCCTTTTGTATAACAGGTACCTGTACCCCTCTGTACCCAGTATCACAGTGTAAGATTGTCACGGTGGTCCTACCATCTTTTTCATAATGCATGTAGTATGCCCCAGCACCAAAACGCACGTGGTCTCCCTAATAATCAGCCTGTCTGACACTTCTTCTGGTGAATAATAACGAGCGGGGAAGGCGCGAACGCTAGAACGAGCAAACAACTACGTCTCGTCCGACAGTCCCGGGGATGAAAAACATACATAGCTCACATCTCAGGTCTTTGTTAGAACTGAGATGCGAGGGTATTCCTAGTACCTACCCTCTATACTAGCTAGGGTAGAGACATGAAAATTAGCGTATCTACGGTAGGAATAGACATTTGCAATATCGACGAGCACGAGCCGACGTCAAAACGTCGCTCGCTCGTCCTGTTTTTGGGCTCCGCTCGCCCAGCTTTACTCTCCCGTCGTACCTATCTCAGTCCTACTGCATGTGGGTTCCGGTTTTCAGATGACGAGGTATTATGCAGAATTAGACAGTACTGTCGCCTGATCAAAACGAAGAACAATTGAATAAATACATGGTATGGGATTGGTATAGCCTATTGAGAAGATCCTCGTCAAAGCTTATCTAGTGATACGATGTCCCCGCTAATGTATTTTAAATCCTATTTATTGTCTTCTTGTGGCAGCGTCCAATGTAGACAGTACATGCTCCCGCTAATCTTTCTTCTCCTTTTGGTTTTTCGATTTGCTTCCAGTCGAATACCCGATAGTTCCAATAAATATCAATCCTGCACCGGCCCACATCTCCGTGTTTCCCTGTCCTCCATAGAATGCGACGCTCAGCAATAACGAGATGGCCTTGCGCACAGTAAGAATGAGGGTCACGGTCAGTGAAGATACACGCCCAGTGAGCCTGTTGACTCCTATGACACACACGAGCTGCGTGCACGTGTTCAAAAGGAGGTAGACAAATATCGATGGCACGATGAGGCCTGCCTCGTACGGTGCAAGAGGCCCTGACTGCGGTAGGGAAAGGAAAACAGGCGGACTAGAACTCATGCGCGTGAGCTCCGTGGATATATTATATTTGGAGAAGTAAAACAAGGGGAGAGCGATAGAGTGGAGGTAGGACATATGTTCTTGCCATGAAGATTGTTCTGCGGGGTCGGAAGCAGCTTCAGCTTGAGCGGGTGCGACGTATCGTGCGAAGACCCAGTCCTGGATGAGTCCCAGGAAACCTGAGAGGATGAGGGCAAGGCCAAGGATGGAGATGCCCATTGTGTAGAATGAGGCATCAGTTGTGTCTACTTCGGCAACACGGGATTTGGGTTTTGAGGCAGAGAGCGTAGTTATTATGATGCCAACTGTGACGACGAGGACAGAAGCTACTTGTCGCACAGTATATCTTTCTCTGGAATGAGTAAACACGTTGGAAATGCTGTAACGAAACACCAACCGCTTCTTCGTGAACATCCATCCCAGAATCATGTGTATGATCATGCCACCGCTGCGAAACACGATGTGCACGGTCATAGGGATGTGGTATGCAAAAGCAGCATTGTTCAGAGTCGACAGAACGAAGAATAACGCGACCTGAACGAAATAAGGTAGCAGAGGTACCTTCCGGTTCTTCAGCCGAGGAATCCATCTCCTGCACGGTGTTGGAGTACTCTCTCCTACGTCTCGCCGACGCCATACAAAGCGACTTTACATGCGGCGAAAGCGTGCGCAGCTCCGAGGCGAAGATGTGGTACCAGTGACCCTCGCAAGAATGAAACCTGGGAGGAAGGGAAAAGAAAAGGCAGCTCAAGTGGTGGAAGAGACCGAGAAAGAGGAGGTGTCGCCCTCTGGGAAAGAAATTGGGAATAGGAAGGCAATGACTCCAGATCTTACTTATCCTGATTCCCAAACCGATGACGATGACGGCGGGGACGCGGGCAAGGCGACCACCAAGAAGTATATTAGTGACGTGGGTGGAAAAACGCGCTACCAAAAAATCAGGTCCGATTTCGAAAATGCTGGGATCAATGCGTCCTACCTCGGTGAACACGGTATGGATCTCTTCCATCTCGGGCGTTTGGGAAAGTTCATGGGGTATGTCTTGATCGCGAATCTTATCGCTGTTTTCTCATTCATTGTGGTACAGGATGTACAAATCGCTCGAGGAATGTCCTGAGGATGATGTCGGCAACATCTTCATCTCCTCAGAGTTAATACGGTACCTTCAAGCATCGGTAGTTGCGTTTATGACGGATGCCGTACACCGTGCGACCGTCACGTGGAAGGGACAGGCTAATGAACTCAAGGGCCAGAAGAAGGTTTGGAAGGGCACGCTGCACCAGATAAATAATGTTACATTCCTACATCCCAGCCAGCTCATCCCTGTCTTCGTGTCTGCCAGATAAACCAACGAGCTGTCGAGCATGCATTAAAGACAATCGGTGTAAGGACCTTGAGTCAGCAAGAGCACTTCTCAAGGCTCCTTGATCAGTACGATATATTCCCGGACAAACGGAGGCGCAAGCCAAAATCTAGCACCCCTGGAGATGTGGAGGACGAACGAGCGCGTACTGCCGGACATTCTCCCGACGCCGAAAGTTATGACATTGCACTCTCGCCTCATCGTGCAATATACACGCCTGCATTTCTCGCTCCCGCCTCGTTTGATATCGGTGTTGTGGACACTTTCTTACCGGGTTATGATGGACAGCTTCCATCGAAAGCGCTGATCAACGAGGATTCACGCGATGCGATGGAGGGGTCGTTACTCTCGAATGAGACAGACGAGGAGGCTCTAGAAGACGAGTTGATGGAGGACGAGATGTTGGATCAGGTTGATGTGGAAAGTCGAGGAGCAGCTATGGGCCGAAGTCGAAAGAGAAGAGGGAGACGATGCAAGCGTGATGTCGGAGCAATGATATTTAATAATCTCTAGCTACCCTATCATTTTATAATTGATTAATACTTATGGTACATGTTACCATTACAGATGTGCACCGAGCATTTGGAGATGATGGGCGCGTTCGAGGAGCAGTTGGCTAGGGAGAAGTATTCTGATCTAGGATACATACGATATACAATTGTTTGTCGAGCTCCACTGGTAAACAAAGGCGCCAAGGAATAAAATAAAATATGGTCTATCGATATGAAAGCAGCTGTAAGGTTTGAAGGAATCAGCGTTTCACTGATGAGGCCAGCCGTCTAATCGAAGGTGAGAATCATAAATTTCTATGATTTTGTCGTGCAACTTGTGCAACTTCAAAATCTCCATGTACATTTTCAACTTGTAGGCAGGATTTGCCTTCCAGAGGTTCGTGATGAGGACCATTTCAGTGGCGCTTAGTTTGGCCTCCTCCATACAGACGCATCCTTGGTCATAAGCATTCTGCTCCTCCTGAGTAACCCATTTATACCGAATCGCGAAGAACTCAGCAAGTGCAAGAACAAGCTTGTCAAGCGGTTTGCGGTTGACAAATACATCGCTCCCAAAGCGTGATCTCGAGATGAGAAAAGGCGATTTCGTATCAAATACAACCCCCTCCAATTCAGCAACTTCGAAGACCTGCTTCATGAGTAATGATCGTGCAGGGATGGTCAAGTGAGTCTTCGTGCACAGTAAGGCAGTCCATAGAACGACGTAGAAGCTGGACTCCAGGTCATCCTCGACATCATGTTTGGTTTTTCTATTTGCGATCAGGTCAGCCGATATGAATTGCAGGGTTCCCTTAGCGACAACATTCTTAGTACAGACTAACAGGTTTGGGCACGGAATGGACGAACCATACGGGTTACTTGTCGAGCACCTTTGATGTTGATCAAATTTGATAGGTCCCAATCAATGAGGATGCCCTTGCCATCGTGGATAACAATGTTTCCAACACTAAGGTCTTGATGTAATACCCCCGCATTATGATATGCATCCTTGTGGGCTATAGCAATATGAATATAATGTCTTCTGGGGAGGGGGCGGCGGCAAAATACGTACCAATTAGTGCGTCACGAACGGCTGTGACGAGCTGATGAGAGCTTGCAAATTCATACAACTGCTTGCCCACAATATCGAGAACCAGGCGATAATGAATGTGTGGAGTGATTGCGACCTGCGAACACGCCCAGACAGCATCTGCGAACTTGGAAGTCTGTGGGGCTTGTCGAGGGATAGAGGGTACGTCGTGGCATGCGATGCACGACACAACGTTTCCAACGTTGTGTTTTTTCAATAGCTTGTTTGTCTCGCCTGAGTCTGTTAGAACTGCACAAGCTAAGGCTGCTTGGATCGGTGCCCCTTGTCTGGGCGTGTACATCAGCATCGTTTTTCCTTGGTGTCGTGTATCTTTTATTAGACACTGTTCCGTCGTAGGAGCTACTTCTGTTGAACACTGCTCGATAGTAGATTTCATGCATAATTGCATAGGAACGGAGTCGGTTCTCGCCGGCATACTCTGAGTAGATCATCCTTCAAAGCTTCATGACTGTACTGGTCTGAATCTTACATAACCGACCATTCAGATATGCCGAGTTAGACAACACTATCTAACGAAGAACAATCGAATGAATACATGGTATAGGTAAACTTGAGTATTTGTATAGCCTATATATATAAAGATCCTCGTTAAAGCTCATCTAGTGATACGACGCCCCCGCTAATCTTTCTTCTCCTTTTGGTCTTTCGACTTGTTTCCAGTCGAATACCCGATAGTTCCAATAAATACCAATCCTGCACCGGCCCACATCTCCGTGTTTCCCTGTCCTCCATAGAATGCGACGCTCAGCAATAACGAGATGGCCTTGCGCACAGTAAGAATGAGGGTCACGGTCAGTGAAGATACACGCCCAGTGAGCCTGTTGACTCCTATGACACACACGAGCTGTGTGCACGTGTTCAAAAGGAGGTAGACAAATATCGATGGCACTATGAGGCCTGCCTCGTACGGTGCAAGAGGCCCTGACTGCGGTAGGGAAAGGAAAACAGGCGGACTAGAACTCATGCGCGTGAGCTCCGTGGATATGTTATCTTTGGAGAAGTAGAACATCGGGAGAGCGAGAGAGTGGAGGTAGAACATATGTTCTTGCCATGAAGATTGTTCTGCGGGGTCGGAAGCAGCTTCAGCTTGAGCGGGTGCGACGTATCGTGCGAAGACCCAGTCCTGGATGAGTCCCAGGAAACCTGAGAGGACGAGGGCAAGGCCAAGGATGGAGATGCCCATTGCGTAGAGTGAGGCATCAGTGGTGTCTACTTTCGCAACACGGGATTTGGGTTTTGAGGCAGAGAGCGTAGTTATTATGATGCCAACTGTGACGACGAGGACAGAAGCTACTTGTCGCACAGTATATCTTTCTCTGGAATGAGCAAACAAGTTGGAAATGCTGTAACGAAACACCAACCGCTTCTTCGTGAACATCCATCCCAGAATCATGTTTATGATCATGCCACCGCTGCGAAACACGATGTGCACGGTCATAGGAATGTGGTATGCAAAAGCAGCATTGTTCAGAGTCGACAGTACGAAGAACAATGCAACCTGAATGAAATAAGGTAGCAGAGGCACCTGCCGGTTCTTCAGCCGAGGAATCCATCTCCTGCGCGGTGTTGTAGGAGCAGACACAGTGCCATTTGGTCCATTTGCTGCATGTTTAGATTCTGGGGGGTCGTTGAATGTGAATTGTTTGGGTAGTCCATATAATGAAACAATGAGGAACTGGAAAAAGGTGATCAGGACGCCTGCGTTCGGGTATCGAGATGTGATGTGCTCTAGGGTGATAGCATTACTGAGTCACGTTCCCGAATCAGTGTCAGAATGAGATCTAGTTCAAGTTCACTCGCCTGCAGCAGCCTCCGAACACCAATGAAAGAGTGGTGATCCAGTCTGACAATGACAACATGAGGAAAGCAAGAAACGTGGTGCTAGCAGTGCACGCGGTCTACGGATGACACTTTTTGATCCACAACTCTCAACTTAAGGGCCGTCCACTCTCAGTACAGCCGAACGTTCAGCTGAATCTCTGGCAAAGGATGTCTTAACTGTCAGACTCACAATGTAAGACCACGTCAACATTTTTTCACCAGCATGTTGAAACGAATAAGGTTGACAACCGTGCCATTACGATAAAAATTCAAAACCAGCAAGACTGCTCAATTTTGCAGCTGCTCAGCCTGGCGGTCTCGTTCATAATTATCATCAAGTTTATAAAGGTCAGGGTCTTGAATATGGTCTTCCTTTGCTCCGTGCTTTGCTCCACTCACTGCCCGCGCTAACGTCCTCGTCGCTGGTTCCGGCGGTATTACTACATTGATTTTAGTCTCGTGATCTCGGCGCGTCTCGCGCTGTTTGTTGTTTGTCACAGGTATTCACGCCAGATTCCGCCCCTCATAAGCTCGCCCCGCGGGAATTTTACTCCTTGTCTTTTCTTTTCTTTGCTTCATTTGCCCCCCGCCGGGCACAACACAACAATCTCTATTACGTCCGCTCCCTTCAGATATGTCCTCAGACCGCCGTCACCCAGCGTCCCTCCTCCCAAGGTCACTTCATAATCCATACCTTGTAGAACTTATGCGTAGGCCTGTCTCAATGGAGATGATCTCCTATATCGCCCATCAGGCGTCGCGAGCCATCATGATCAACGAGCAACTCCCTGATCCCAGTGCCCTCCCAACACCCCCTACGACGCCAATCAAGGCCCCCTTCTCTGAGACACAGGATATCGCCCCTCCCGCCCCAGTGGCGCCGAAACTGCCGAGTCTTGTGAGCTTCATCATTCGCTTGGTGAACAGGTCGAACGTTCAGGTGCCCACGCTACTCACCACCCTCATTTACTTGCACCGTGTGCGTGTCAAGGTGCCTGCCATGACCAAGGGTACGTAGTATGGAATATCTTCCATCCAATTTTTGATCATATTTCTTCCAGGTCGGTCATGTACCCGGCACCGTGTCTTCCTGGCGACGCTGATCGTGGCAGCCAAGTACCTCAACGACTCATCTCCCAAAAACACACATTGGGCAGCATACGCTGAACACTTTGACCTCCCAGAGGTGAACCTCATGGAGGAACAGCTTCTCTATATACTGGGATACGACCTCCGCTTTGACGAGCATGAAGCGTGCATCCACTTTGCGCCTTTCATCCCCACGCGCATCATCTGCCCGCTCACTCCGCAGCAGCAGGAAACCCGTGCAGCGGCGGTCGAGCGAGTTTCCAAAGCAGGGAAAGCCCGCGCACAGGCACAGCTACCAACTCCACCTAGCGAAGTTCTTCCTCCACCTCCTATTGGGTCCTCTATTGTGTCTACAGTCCGCGGGATTGCAAGGCGTCTCTCGAGCAGCCGTCTTGGAGGTAACCAGAGCCGTTCTTCTTGCATTGTATCACCGATATCGAGTGTGCATAGCTGCGATAGCTCGAATGCAACTGATTCCGAGATGGAGTCGTTAATAGAGGACTCTGGGTCTTCGTCTGATTCGGCTAGTAGCGTCTCCGACGATGAGCAAGAGGAGAAGTCAAGCATCGTAAGGAAACCGTTTGTCTTGGGTGGTATCCCGCCTCAGGCGCACAGAGAAGGGCGAAAGGTATCCGAAGCAGGCTCAGTCCGATCTATAGCGACCGTCCGAGCAAGCGACTCTCCTTCTCCCCCAAAACCCGCCCGCGCCTTTGGATATATCCACGATCAGAGTCGTCAACCGTTCTACCGTTCCCGGTAAACGAGCGAGCTCCTACGTATACGGCATGTCGAGCGACAATCAAAATCAATCCGACGCTGATTCCGCTGGCGGATCCGGTGCTCCTGCTTCCCGTATGAAAGCAAGTGTCAGCATGTCTTCTAACGGATTCCTCAGCCGCATGTGGAGCGCGGCGATCAAGGGTCAGGAGAAAGAGAAGCCGACATGTGACCTCTCTGGAAAGGGGTCGGTGGGTCTTCCTGTGGTGAGCATTGTCGAGCCTGCAGAACGCCATCCCCCTGGTCACGGGGCTAGCGCGTTCCATAGACTGGTACACTCGAGGTCTGCGATCTTCCGAGCGACGGCCAATCAGAATCTACTTGACGTTTGAGTCTCGACCGGCTGGTGACGGACGTGTTTTCATACATCATTTAACCACCCCCTCATTCCTGCATCGATCTTTCACGTTGTTTCATGGCACATCACTATCACCTATCGTACTCTGGACATCACGTTACCCACCCCTCGGACTCGTTTTTCACATCCATCTCATTCCCCGGACGCATCCTTCATCTCGGTGACATGGACGACGGACATCACTGCAGCTCTATTCCTACTCTCGTTCTGTATCCGTGAGATAACCATACCGCTCGTCGATTACTTGTAGTTCACTGGATGTATACATAAATATATACTATGATTTCACGACCGTTTGTGATGACTCGACAAGATTGCGAATAACTGCCTGGTTGTAGTATCTAGGAGGTCTGTGATGGCGTGCTCTCCCACAATTTTGCCAGAATTGATAGAGTAGGTCTACTGCACTTACTTGTCGCATTACATTTGAAACGATAGTGGTATACATCGACGTCAAATAAAGATTACAACAGTTGCACGTATGAGGCAGGGAACAATCCCTCCTTTCCTTGACCCTCTATCTGACCCGTCCACCTGGATAAAAAGTCAGTAACGTGCGCGACATTCAAGATCCAACGACGTAGACAACCCACCAGTCATCAGAAGACTTTGCAGTGACAAGCACACGAGAGCCAGATTGAATTTCCAAATCGCCAGGATCCTACAGGAAAGATGGCTTAGTTCGAGTGGACGCATCGATTACAGGTGGATGAATGCATCATACCTCACTACTATAATCATACAATGCATCTGCCCACTCCCCTTGTGGTTCCTCGGGTTCCGGTTCGACTGCACGTCGTGGGAGGATGGGTGGTGGGGACCTAGCAGTAGAAGGCTCAACAGCGGTCGTTTCTGATGTCGTGCGCCGAGTTGGAGGTGGGCCGAATGATGATGCCTTGGGCGTTTGGAATGCAGGGGGTATAGCTACTACGGCTGTTACGGGTGCTTTCCTGAATGCGCCCAAGACGCTCGACTGAGAAGTGGGCGTCAATGATGGACTTGAAAGGAAGAAGTGGAAGATACAGACCTTTTTCGTGACTAGTTTATCAATCTCGGACCCTGGTAAGGATGCGCTGACTGTGCTAGAGCTGCGTGAAGGGAGGGAAGGAACTAGGGATTTTGAAACGTTCGAAGATGAGAATGAGTTGTTTGAGCCACCGCCGGTGAACGCTAGCGAAGCTGCTGCTACTCTTCCTACGGAACTGCTCACTTGTGGATTACTGGCTATCTAGTCGACGGATTCGAGAATCGGGATCGTTCGAGTGAGCATGCATCGCGACTTGTTAGTTGATATCATGGTGTATGGGCAGCGAAGACGTACCGTGGATGCATATGGGTTATTCGACTTTCCGAGTCCGTGTGTTACCCCGGCGGAGACGATCTTGGAGGTGACTTCTGGATTTTGGGCGAGAGCGCGGTGAACGGCTGATGCAGCTGCTGCAGATGGATCTTGGCCGCTACTGGTGCCATCATTGCTTGTGTTAACGTTGGCGAGGATCTCAGGGCGGGACTGGAAGTACCTGCCAGCATTGTCAGCGCGTATTTGAGGGACGAGTAAGAGATGGCGCGGACTCGTCTAGAAGCTCGAAGAAGGCGTCTTTTTCTTGTGAGGAGAGCCTGGTGAACACCATCGCGTGTGAGAGGGTGAGGGTATTGTGCGGATGGCTGTCAAGTGACTTCTGTCGGGTGTGTAGCCTACCAGCGGAGACTCATACGTATACTTGGACCTGTGTCAGGCACTGCCGCACGGATAGCATTTCCCCTATAAATTAAGACTAATAACACCGTCCCACAAGAAAATAACAGCCCTGCTCCGGACCTTCATCAGATCAAAATTCATAGAAAAAAGTTTTTCTACAAAATACAGACACAGAGCAGAGCAGGGAAGTAGTAAAAAAAACAAAGAGACAGAAAAAGAGTTATAAAACCGAAAAAAAACGTACAGTATGACACGTGTGTGATGAGGGTTAAAAAGTAAAAGTAAAGCACTCGAAAACAGCCTCTGAGGGAGCCGCGACAACAAATAATAAGATAATACCGAAGTGATAATCAGCGTCCTAGGACCCAGAACCAGAATAAAACGCCTTCATGGACCATTCCAATTAAATATGTCATATTCTCCTGTGCTCGTGTCTCCTATTGGACTGATGTTTTGTTGCATGGGGACGTTTGGAGGTCGTTGGTTGCTTTGGGGGTAGTATCCGTTCATGCTTTGCTGTTGCCAGTTGGGCCCTCCGGATGGCGAGATGGAGCCGCCGTAGGGGCTGTTCGCTGCTACTGCTCCCTGGGGGTTCATCCCAAACCCGTTCATTTGGCCTCCAAGCGACAGTTGCTGCTGTTGCTGTTGCTGTTGCTGCTGCTGCTGCTGCTGTTGTTGACCATTTGGCCACTGATGATATTGCATCTGTGGATGGAACGATCCAGCATTCTGCTGCGTCCCCATCATGCCTGGCTGTGGCTGCTGCGTCATCGCCCGCTGATAGTCTTCAGGCTGAATAGGAGGCTGCGAGGAAAGCCTTGACGGGGCACGAGGCGTCATGGGCGAATGCACGCTCTCAGAAGGCGACCGACCACTCCTCGCAATTCCCGGAATAGTCGAATTCGAGCGCAATGCGGGGAAGGTATCGTTCGCGGGGGCGGACATGGGTGAACCCCCTTGGGACGGACCGCCCTGGGGCATCCCCCGCTGCTGTTGCTGCTGCATCGCAAACGCCTGCTGCGGGTTCATGAGGTTCGGAGCGTTCATGTTCATGTTCCCGCCTGAATTCCGCATTTGCTGCTGCATGAGCATGAGCTGTCGTTGCTGGTTGAGGTTCATGGCGCTCATGTTGCCCGGCATCTGTTGTGAGAAATTGGGGGCTGCTATGCGGGGGTCTACACTGGGTGCGTTGTGGGGTTGATTGTTGAATGGGTACATGCCGGTTTGCTGGGATTGGGCGCTCATTTGTTGTTGGGGTTGGGATGAGACGGGTGATTGCTGGCCTAGGGGGGATATGGGGCTTGGGCCACCGCTCTGCATGGGGACGTTGGGCATGGGCGACATGGAGGGGTTCTGGCCTAGACCGGGCATTTGACCAGGCATGGGCGGGCGTTGTTGCTGATTGGACGGATTATGTTGCTGCTTCTGCTGTAGAATATTCTGCACGAAATATCAATATGCCAGCTCGCAAACACAACGTGAATTATTACATGAAAACTCGTGAGCTTCTGCACTTGTTGAGGCACCGGCAGGGATGTGAAGTTGGGGATTTGGGACACGAGATACGTCACCAGGGGGTGGTTGGGATTTTGGAGAATCTGCATCGCTGCAGCGTTCTGGCTATATGATGTATGCGGATGTTGCGGTGCGCCCGGCCCCGAATTCTGGGGAATTCGTGGGGAGGAATCAGGAGGAGACATCTGGCGCGCGGATTGCATCTGTTGTTGCATCTGGGCTGCTCGGAGTTGTTGTTCGCGTGCTTGGTGGATCTGCATTTCCCGTGCGCGAGCGCGTGTCGTGGCTGCTATCGACGCTTCAGTGGCGCCAAAGGGTAGTGAGGGGGCAGACACTGGTGGGGGCATGGGACTGGAGGTACGAGGACTCTGCGGCATGGCGGGGGTGCTGGCGACGGTCATGTTTGGGTGGATGGGAGGAATGAAAGCGGACGCGGGGCTGGGGCGCTGGCCAGTACCGGATATAGATATGGATGGAATTGCGGGTGGTTGCATGGAGTGTTGTTTGGTCTCACCGATGTCGCGTCTTTTGTTCATGAGGTCTGCCATGTCGTCTGGTCTGCTGCGCTTTAATGGGCCATTTAGGAGTGCGGAAGTGGTAGGAGAATATTGAGCGCCGGAAGTGGGCTGGCGTCGTGCGAGTTCCTTTGCGAATATGGTGGGTAAATCGGCATAAAGTTGATGTATTCGATCCATCGACATGAATTCAACGGGAGAAGGAGCATCCATTGCAGGCAATGCGAGTCTGGGATCCTATTAAGAGAGTTGAGTAAGGGGTCGTATTGAGGAAAGAAGGGATACATACATTACATCGATGAGGATCTGCAGCTACTGTTAGCCAAGTCAAGTTTACTTGTATGCGATTAGCAAGACTGAAAGGTTTAATGATGAGGGATGCTTTTAAAGATGAAGTAGTACTTACTGAGAGAAGCGAGCGTCAGTTTGTGGCAAGCCACGTGTCTGAAACTCCATACAGACTCTAAAAAGTAAGAAAGTGAGATTGAGGGTGGAGAAAGTGAGTGTGAACGGACTTTAGCAACTCTGAGTTGATCTCGAGAATCCTAACGACTTTTGGATCTTTAGCAGAGGGATCAGATAATTTTGCTGATGGTAAGTTTGGTGAAGGGAGTTGGCTGATTGATACGATTTCCCTTGATGGACGTCTTGAATGAGAAGGACCTGCTGATGGGCCAAGTCTGTGAGAGGGACCTGGTACGGGTATTGAGATAGGATGTCTTGTAGGAGAGTTTGGTATTGAGCGGACTGGGGATGAAGTGCCATTTATTGTGCGTTTTTCTGACCAACGATTATCTTGATTTTCTTGTGCGCTGTTTAGGTCTCCATTCTGCTCTTGCTCTACCTCTCCTGTACTGCCGTCCTTCTTTTCAAAATCCAAACTATCGTCACCATCTGGTACTGCTGATAGATCTGTGAGTGGTGTTAACTGTCTTGAATAAGAACCATCTCCATCGTCTTCTGGTTCTGGTTCTTGTACTGGTTCTTGTGGAGGAGACTTGCGTTTAATTTGAGGAGAGGTGTAGTCTGGAGGAGGTGAAAGTGACGAACTCTTGTCGTCAGTTTGAAGTTGGATAGGATGGATTGTCTGACCCTCGGGATGGTTATTATTCAAGTCAGACAAAGAGTTTTGGAAATAACTGTGATGGTCGTCGTTATGAGAGATGTCTGTGACCCAATTGAAAGTAGCTGAATGATCCTCTTGTAAGATAAGATTTGAATTTTGTTCTGAATCGATTTCGTTGCGGTTACGATCGAGATGGATCATTATAGTAGACGGAAAGTCGACGGAAGTCTGGTCGTTAACCGGAGAATTGCGACCGAACTAACAAAGTGGACTAGACTCGTGTGAACAAGGCTGAGTTTCACTTTCATACTCCGATAGGTCGCACAGCCACCTGGTTATAACTTGGTATAGCCACAACACGTCTTTCATCCGCGATGCTCAGGCTGGGCTTACGACACGTCTGTCCTACCCCTTTAAATTATTTCAGTACTGACCTATCCTCTAGTCTCTACTCCAATTTCTAAACTTTGCATCCATCATCGCATCTGCCCTCATCCTATGGAAAGGCCTTGGCCTCATCTTGAACACGGAATCTCCAATTGTCGTCGTCCTCAGGTGTGTATCATTCTCCCTCTTCCACCCCTTGCATATTAAATTCTACAGTGGCTCCATGGAACCAGCATTTTATCGTGGCGACATCCTTTTCCTCACTAACCCCCCACGCGAACCTTACCACACAGGTGATATCACAGTGTATAACATCCCCGGCGCTGAAATCCCCATCGTGCATCGCGTCATGGAGACACGGGACGTCTTTATCCCATTCCATAATTCTACGCAAAACCCCATCATTAAGTCAGTTTACCGTATTTAGTTTGCTCGTACAAGACATTCGGTGACTGAACACCGCATACCCTGCCCCAGACTCGCAAAGCTCAATCTCCCACCAGGGGAACATCAGCTAATGCTCACGAAAGGCGATAATAATCATGTCGATGACATTGACCTCTACCAGGGCCTTGAATGGCTTGACCAAAGGCATATCGTTGGCAAAGTTCGCGGGTATGTGTTTTTCACATTAGTTTCATTTTATGTAAAGCTTGCGCATGCTGACACGTCACTAACCACACCTCCAACTCACTTACACTTCACCCCCAGGTTCCTTCCGTACGTCGGTTACCTGGCGATTGCCTTGGTAAGTCTCTTTCACCGTCCTGGTAGAATACATGTGTGCTACTCGGTAGCGCATCTCTTTCTCGCCTTTCTTGGATCTCTCGCTGATCATGCCACATAGAATGATTTCCCGCAACTTAAATGCGCGATCCTCGGAGGTCTTGGGCTTTTAGCTTTCATACAACGGGACTAGAATTCCCTGTGTAGAATTGACCTTTAAGCAGATCCATGTTACTTCTTTCATGTAAGGTGGCAACAGTCGTATTGAGAAACAGCCCTTCGATGATATCATCCCTAGTGAATTCTGGACACGTCCACCCGTGTGCGTCTCGCGTTTCAATCCAGGCAACTTTTAAATCGGGTTCTGGTGTCCTCTTATCATTCGGATCTTACTCGGTTGCTTCGGGGATTGAGCAGAAGGCTAAAGAGCAGTCGTGGAACAGAATGAGCCTTTTGAGTTCCTGTCCAGCACACTACTATTCAATGCGCTTGCACTCCCTACGGGTTTTTGAGTTCCTGCTCAGCACTCTTACGAAGCTACTATTCAATGCGCTTACACTCGGTAGAGCCATTCACCATCTCTCTCCGGACCAACTTCAATTGAAGGGGGTATAATATCTCTTCAGTCGTTATACCTGGTCTGCCATCATCACGCTTCTCTCTGGCTGGACGACATACTTTGTGGTTGAATTGGGGTATCATGTATATACCATCAAGTCCGTCTTGCTATTCAGGCAAGCCCTCCTCCTTGGCGCTCAACGTCGCCGTTGACCGGAGTAGTCACGCTACTTTGTTTTGGATCTTTATCATGCAAGCCGTCGGTTTACTAATTCTTTGAAGGCGTGTGAAATAGATCTTGGGGTCGTCCGTGGACTTGCCTTTTCGATTGTGTTTTGGGCTAGTTTTATGGTTGATGCGTGGGTGAGAGCTGTGTTTATTGGGTGAGTTTTTTTCTTTCCTGGCGGGTATAGACCAATGATGGTCTTGCTTGTTTTGTTTTTGAACATTTTTATCTTTGTTCTCAGGGGTCCCGGAGCTTATCGATGCACAGCGTAGTTTGAGATATTTATTTAATGACGGTTATACTAAGTCTATAGCTTGCGCTGCGCCTCTCTTAACGGTGAGCTCGTCGACATTCCAACCTGCCCTATGTGTCCAACGACCATGCAAAATTAAACACCCACCACCCAACCCGCCTGCCACCACTGCTACTAGTCTACTATTGATGATATAGTAATTCAATTGATTTGCACAAAGGTTTCGTGGGGCAAGCTGCTCGGATCTATCAACTTTAGCGTTTTCCTTAACAAGCAATCGACCCTACCGGCAATTGCCGATATTTGTGGCGCCGATTGGACAACGGCTTCGGTGCACTATACGCCAACGCCCACAGCCTACACCGAGTCCTCAAGACACAATAATGTGAGTATGCCGCACGAATCACTGCTCTGGGTTGCAACGTACGAGTCCAAATATGCGTTCTGTCCACTCTGGTCGAAAATCGCATCGAAATCGATGCAGAAACGGCTGGATGACTTACACTTGCATCGGATACCCTGCACCCCCGCATCAGACACTCAGCTTATCACTTTTTACAGATAAACCATGGGTAGGGTTATCAGGGCTCAGAGGCGCTCGCATGCCATTGTACGTTCCCTTACTTATCCACCTACTCTGCTATTTACGTCCTTGTCATTTCATCTAGTTCAAAGCGCACACCCACCACAACAAGGCCCCCGCCAAGCTTCGTACCCTTGATTACGCCGAACGCAATGGCTACGTCCGGGGTATTGTCAAAGAAATCATCCACGACCCTGGCCGGTAAGGATGAAATACGCCAATCCATTATTTTCCTCACATGCATTCTAGCGGTGCACCCCTCGCACGTGTCGTATTCCGTGACCCCTACCGCTACAAGCTCCGCAAGGAGACCTTCATTGCCACTGAGGGCATGCACACCGGCTCATTCGTGTACTGCGGAAAGAAGGCCGCTCTTACCGTCGGTAACGTCCTTCCCGTGAGCCAATGCCCAGAAGGTACCATCGTCTGCAACGTCGAGGAGAAAGTCGGCGACCGTGGTGCTCTCGCTCGTACGTCTGGCAACTACGCAACCGTCATCGGCCACTCGCCAGAGGACAACAAGACCCGTATTCGTCTGCCTAGTGGTGCGAAGAAGACTGTGGCTGGAGGTGCACGGGCGACTGTTGGAATCGTTGCTGGTGGTGGACGTATCGACAAGCCATTGCTTAAGGCTGGTCGTGCATATCACAAATACAAGGCTAAGCGTAACAGGTGGGTGAACAATGGTGACAGTGTTATTGGTTACTCATAAATTCACAGCTGGCCTCGTACTCGTGGTGTGGCTATGAACCCCGTCGACCATCCTCACGGTGGTGGTAACCACCAGCACATCGGAAAAGCCTCGACAGTTCCCCGTTCCGCAGTTCCTGGACAGAAAGTCGGTCTTATTGCCGCTCGCCGGGTATGTCTATTTTGTAGCTTTCATTCATTTCTGTGCATGCTGAATGATTTTGGTAGACTGGTCTGCTACGCGGTACCGTCAAGGTCAAGGAGGTTTAAGAGGTCGGATGGTTTTCTTTTACATATCACTCACTATGCTTTACGACCCCATACATCCCTCAAAATACATGTATGCATCCGCATATGCCCTACGATCATGCACACTGCCTTTGACATGCTATTTAGCACTGTGTGATGATGGGCATATTTGCTTGCGTCTCTGTCAGTGATGTTGAAGCTTATGTGGTTGGCAGATGAGTAGTAGGAACTTTGGCTCTTGTCTCAGCATTGTATACCGAGAACGAAATCCTAGCGGCGGCGAGCCACCAATCCCCGACTCCAAGCAGTCCAATGGGACCCCTCGAGGCCGTACTTTCTGCGAGGATGGCGTTTTTGACAGCTATATTGACGACTATGAAATGACGCCCTCTGGAACAGCTATTGAAAGCAAATGGGTTCCAAGTCACTCAGGAGTCAGGGAGCACTATACGATCCGAGAATCCTCCCTGACTACCGCAGAACATACTTAGAATACGATTGTATCAAGTTTGATGGTGATTGCACAGTGCGACCGTAGCGGGCTCTGCTGCCAGCGGCTTTTCTCCAAACAAGGATCTAAAAGTCCCGGTAAAGGCAGCTCGGCCTCAATATCAATTCCCACAAACGCAGATTCGGTTGCAGGTGGCTGTCCGTGAAAACCACCTCTCCAGTGCAACTCCAGTGTCCACCAACTTTGTGGAGTCGGGGAAAATTCGGCGGATCCAAAAATGTATTTTACTTCGAACTTCTCATAAATACTACTATCCCAGCTTTCTACGTGCGACAACATTAATTGCTGCGATCAATCAAAGATTGATTCGAGAGATGGACGCCCAAACTAATCACTATAAAAGCGATGGATAGCGGTATCATATCTGCACTTACTCCATACACCCCATCCCGATATGACCATAGTCTCAGATGATCCCGCTTGGTGGCCGGTCATTAGTTCTGCTCGGTTTTCCAGCTATTTCGTAGGTTCGGATAGAGCAATTGGGATGCCAATGGTGACGTCTCAGTATTTGACTGTCGCTTCGCAGCTGCAAGCTCTGCTGCGGTGGTATATGACTGGGGTGAGCGGGATGATACGTCCCGAGGGACCGTTGATATTTATACAGTATTCAAGCATTAACGTTCGGACAAGAGGTAAGGTGATGTCATGGGCCGCGCATCTCACTAAGAATGCTTTAACAGTTTGAACTGATCCTGGTGAGCAAAGTCCTACATCAGAACTAACCAGGATGATACAGTTGACTTGGGGCAGAGGCAACGTTGGTCCTTCATGACCGTTCTTTATATTTGTGTACGTTATTGCTACGAGCGCAGTTGGCTTGTTGTGCTGACTTCAACATGTGTTAGGTGCGTTACATTGGAATACTGTTTTCTGTGTACGTCTGCAAAGCTATCTACATAACACTAATAAGTCATATCTCGCAACTAGTGTCAACATCCTGAGTATGTGTCCTCAAATGCGTTCGCTCCTTCTGACTGGCGGCATGTAGCGAATCTCCCTATCTTGATTACCGATGCAGTGGGTATCTGCGCCGATACTTGCCATTCCCATTCAACTACTAACCACGCTCCTATATAGGGGTGAGTGATTCTCGACCGGCTTGTGTCATCAAGATAACGACTTCAACAGCTGTGAGTTCATTTGAAGTATTTATTCCACCACCAAGTAACTGAGTTTTCAGGCACTATTCTTGGGTACATACAGGCATGGACCCCTATCATCGTCAATCTCATGCTGGGCGGTGAGCTCACCCGCAGTTCCCTTACTGATATTGACTTAACTGAAATATCATTCAAGTCATCATGATTGCTCGGATAAATGCCATGTATCAGGGATCGAAAAAGTTGCTCATCTTTCTTGTTGTAGCCTTGCTGGCTTCCACAATCGCCTCCGGAGTCATGGTAGTAATTGGAAACCTAGGTGTTTCAGCGGGTAAGTTTTAATCGTTGATGAAAGTCTGGAGCACAAGTGACTCATGGACATCTACCAGAAGAGGCTGTCCTTTCCGGCTACGATATCTGCGTTACCAACATGGACGCGTACATGGCAAATCTGATTTACGAGAGTATGACACCCACTGCTGTATGGGAGATCCTCACCTTGTTTCTTGCAGTCTGGATTGTTATAAAGCACTTCCATGAACTGCGACGATCATCGACAGGATCGACCTTTGGAGACTGTTTCAGGATATTAATAGAGAGTCACGCGTTTTACTTTCTAGCGTGAGTTTGGTGATTTGGATGTTATTATCTTATTTCACTGAAATTCCACATGTGCTAGCTTTGCTATTGAGGCTTCCTTGAGAATTGGCTCACTGTCTTCAAATATTAGGGTGCGCCGACCTGTGACTGGCATCTACAGCTGATCACTCTCTCATCATTTCTCTGCAGAACTCATCATCCATCGGGAGTGCTATTTACGGTGGCATTTGGTCAATCGCCGAGGTATTGCAGATGTTTGTGCTGGGACCGCGTCTGATCCTCAGCATTCGAAAATATCATGCTAAGCTCGCGCCCGGGGCCGACGGGGGAACAGCCATGACGTCCATCGCTTTCCAGGCTGGTGGAGATGCGTTGACCGGCGGAGATGCGTCGACTGGCGGAGATGTGTAGCACATAAACCAATCCAAATGATCAACCGCAGTACTGTGTGGGGAGCATGCATATTTATTTGTCTCGTGATATTTTGCCTCGTTACGCTATGTATTTAGTGTTCCAAAGTGATTCGGAGGATAGAACTTCTTGTACTTACTTTCTGCTACCTGGGACACAGAGTCCCCTCTAGATCTACGATCGATGCTTGAAGCTTCACAACTCCACTTAATTACGAGGTCCCAGCAGAAACTGATGATGCCAAATCATTATATAATAACCGTTGGGTGCATACGACAGACAAGCTAAGTGGTGCCACATCTTGCTACCAGATCACCGTTGTGTTTCTTGTCGTATTAATGCTTTATAACAATTGACATTTGGTCAAGGAGTCGATGGCCTTTGAAAATTGCTATAAAGCGCTAGTAAGTGAGTACTCCGTTTTGGAGTTGTGTTTCGTTGCCTTATTTTATTGCAATCTTCATACACAAGATGACTATTCAAGCTGACATTCTCATCACAAAAATTGCTATAAAGTAAATGGGTACGAGTCGGTAGCTTAAGAATGTCCAGGAAATGGCAATTCTAATAGTGGGCTGTCTATGGTAGACTTTTGGGACTTGTCTGCGTCTGGATCTGGTCCGACATCGTTCGGAGTTTGAACCATCTGTGAGGGCGGCTGAAGCGCACTTCTTAGAGTCGGGGACGAGCTTGCTCCCGTTGAGCGTTCGCAAACTTCTCTAGTCCAAACTGCGTGTGACGTTCCACAGTTAGAAAAATGAAGACTTTAAAGATCTTGAAGCGCACAAGTTTAAAAACCATGTCTTGTTTTCGTGTAAAGTGGCATAAAAAATAGGGAATAGAGGAAAAGAAAAGTTGGCATAAGGCATAAGGCATAAGGCATGGGGGAAAAGTGGCATAAGGCATAAGAGATAGGAAAAGTGGCGTAAGGCATAAGTGATAGGAAAAGTGGCATAAGGCATAAGTGATAGGAAAAGTGGCATAAGGCATAAGTGATAGGAAAAGTGGCATAAGGCATAAGAGATAGGAAAAGTGGCATAAGGCATAAGAGATAGGAAAAGTGGCATGGGGGTGTCGTAAAAGAGTGACGACGGTATATTGTCATAATGTTATAAGATGGCATAAAGAGGCATGAGGAGATGAGTCGTAGACGAACCATAAAGTAGACTGGATGGAATAGGTTGCGTGTAGAGCTGCATGTACGTAGTATGCGTGAATGGGTGCAGACCCTTTCGGCGTCCGGGGGCAGAGAAAAAGTCGTAATCATAGAATAGGCTGGGTACGGAGCTGCGCGTAGACCGCAGTGCGCGAATGGGTGCAGGCCCTTTCGGCGTCCGGGGGCAGAGAAGAAGTCGTGAAAAGTCGTGAAAAGTCGTAAAGAGTCGTAAAGAGTCGTAAAGAGTCGTGAAAGGTCGTGAACGTCGTAAAAGTCAGAAGATTGGGTATGGAGCTGCGAGTAAACCGTGGTGCGCGACGAATGGGTGCAGGTAGAGTGCAAGAGCGGGCTAGTGGACTTGAGGCCCGGAGAAGAGATAGATGTCGAAGAACAAAGAGAAAGGTAAAAAGGGTATATGAAGGAGTGACTTGAGTTGGACGATAAATATGACGAGAGAGAGGTGAAAGGGGTCTATGAAGGAGTGACTTGAGTTGGACAATGGATGGGACGAGAGAGAAAGGTGAGAGGGGTATACGAAGGGGTGACTTGGGTCGGACGATAAATATGAGGAGAGACAAAGGTAAGGAGTGACTTGGGTCGGACAATAAATATGAGGAGAGAGAAAGGTGAAAGGGGTATATGAAGGAGTGACATGGGTCGGACAATAAATGTGAGGAGAGAGAAAGGTGAAAGGGGTATATGAAGGAATGACATGGGGTCGGACGATGAATGTGAGGGGAAAGAAAAGTGAAAAGGGTATATAAAGGAGTGACATGGGTCGGACGATAGATGAGAGGAAAGAGAAAATGTGAAATGGAAGGCGCATCCGCGATCCGGTAGAAAGAGCGACTGCTGTCGGACGACAGGCTTGAGCTGATGTTCAGCGGAAATAGAAACAGAACGGGAAATGGTGACGCATCCGTCATCCAGTAGAAAGAGCGACTGCTGTCGGACGACAGGCTTGGGTTGATGTTCAACGGAAATAGAGACAGAGCGGGAGATGGTGACGCATCCGTCATCCAGTAGAAAGAGCGACTGCTGTCAGACGACAGGCTTGAGCTGATATTCAGCGAAAATGGAAACAGAACGGGAAATGGTGACGCATCCGTCAACCAGTAGAAAGAGCGACTGCTGTCGGATGACAGGCTTGAGCTGACATTCAGCGGAAATGGAATCAGATTGGGGGTTGGTGACGCATCCGTCATCCAGTAGAAAGAGCGACTGCGGTCAGACTAAAGGATTGATGAGAGTTGGACTGGGGTTCAGAGAGATTGAGGAAGATGAGACTTACTGATGCCATACTATCGAGCTTGAATACAGAGCCACCGCACGTCGTTCATTAAGCTTGGAGTGTCCGACGTGGAATGGGTGGATTGGCGTAGCTAGATGGGCGGGGCGGGGGGAGAAAGAGGTAGGCGGCAGGGATGCGGCGGGTGCGTGCAGGTCCCTATTTCAGAAAGAGACAACGCCAACGAGGGCAAGATTCGAGAGAAAGACAAGTATTTTTTTGTTTTCATCAACGCGGCCAACGTTGAGCTTTTCGATTGTCTGGAAAAAGAGATAATAAGAAGAATGTTCTGTTGGCAAGGGCGGTAACTTACTTTGAAGATTTGACATTGCTTTACCAACGGCGCGCGACGTTGGTGAGAGAAAACAGCAAGAGAGCAAGACCACGAGAGAACAAGACGACAAGAGAACAAGACGGCGAGAGAGTAAGACGACGAGAGAGCAAGACAAGACAGCGAGCCGGCGAGACAGCGGGACAGCGAGAGAGTAAATAAGAAATTCAATCCGATCAGTGACAAAGACAACGAAAGACAATCGTCCGTGACACGCAATGAGGGTCAGACGTGACGATGAAGGATCGTTGGCACTCGGGGGAGGTCAAGGCTGATGAAGAAGAGAAAGCCTGGGCGGGCAGGTATTTATACGTTTGGGAGAGTCAGCCTCCCGTAATCAATACTTGCTGACCTACGTCATAGCGCGTCATTGGCATGAGTGAGTTGATGATGCTGACAGGTAAGGACGCGCCCGCCAGTGTCAGCTTCCGGTCAGCCTCAAGTTCACAGAGGACTGGAGTCTAACACCCGCGATTTGGACCATCATTGGTAAGAGCGGTGAGATGGGGAGAACTATAAGGAGGAAGTTGAGGCTGACAGACGCGTCGCGTCGCGTCACGCCACGCAACCAGGTCACGTGTTGACTAAATCAACATTGATGCCTGCATAATGAACCATCTCAGCTCCAATCAAGTCTAGCAGATTGTACTCATGAAAAATAAGCTTGTGCCATGCCTCGCATGCACTGGAATTCGCTGCGCGCGTAGTTCATTCAATCTGCCATGGTTCCTACGCAGAGATGGTCCTATCTATACTTTGACTCCATTAGACAAAGATGATGCCGTCGAAAGTTTCCTATAGATTCAGAACCGGGATCTTCAACAAGAACTGCTAAAAAAATTAGCGGGAGCTCGTGAAATAACTATATTCCGTGTAGAATCAGAAACAACAGCATATTCTACTGCCAGCTGGAAAGGTAGGGCGTATGTTTTACAGTATGTTCGTAAACAATATAAGCTACAGCTGTTGGCAGGCAGATCGAAGGTCAGCGAAATGGAGCAAGTCAAGAAAAAGTGGACGTACTCTGAACAAGAAACCAAGCTAGATTAAACAAGTGAAATCAGTCTTATGTCATGCGACAGAATCTCAGCACTTACATCTCCTGGTGTAAGTTTTCCCATCGCCTAGGTCATAGTCAGCTCTCATATTCGTGTCAGCCACCAACTACAAGTACTCACGGAATCATCGGTCGACAGCGTGGCATCCATCATCGCTGATTTCTTCTCCTGCAATTGTATGATTCGGCGTTCGATGCTGTCTTCGACGACAAGTTTGATAGCCTGAACAGGACGGTATTGTCCGAGACGGTGAATGCGATCCATAGCTTCTGCAGTGGAAATCAGCAAGTGTTACGAGCATATCGAGTCAATTCGCGTACGATATTCAACCTAGAATAACAGGAGTCAGCTGAGGATGGGAGAGATGAATACGGAAAACTTACCGCAGGATTCCACCAACTGTCCATGAGATACACTCGAGATGCTTCGGTCAAGTTCAATGCTACTCCACCAGCTTTCAAGCTGACAAGAAATACAGTAACGCCAACATTTTTCACTGAAGAAGCACGTTAGGAAAACACAACTGATAAATGATCGTCCAACATACTGAAGTGCTGAATAGTTGCATCGCGAGCCTGAGGGCTCATGGTTCCCTCAAGTCGACAAATCTATCAAAGATTTTGGTGTCAGCGTTTTCATTCAGTAAAATTCCCGGACCCGTGCGCACCGAAAAGCCAGCCTTTTGTAGCCTAAAGGCGATCAAATCCAAGAAGTTGACAAATTGACTGAACACGATACTCTTCGTCGTGTTGTCTTGCAAGCGAAGATTAGAAAGTTCCTCGACAAGTGCCTCGATCTTGGAAGAAGACCGCCAAGTCTCGATATTGAGTCGCCCCAAGATTCCTTGTCGCGCGGAAGGAACATTTGCTTCAAGTTCGAGCGCCGGGGCCTCGAGGTCGATGGTAAGAGCAATGTGGCAAACAGGACAGTCGGGCTTAGAGAAATTCAGAACCCAAGAAAACGTTAACGGGGGAAAAACTGACTGTCATGTCTCCAGCTGTGCTCAGATACTGTCTCATACACTCCCGGTCGAAGATATGGCGGCATTTAGCCTGGATAGCATCCTCTGCAACATCACTGCAGAGTCTGCAGATCGTAGCTTCACCAGCCTCATCAGAGCCCAAGAACTGGGTCCCATTAGTCTTGCTACGGAGCACAAGGTCTGGGTGGCAAGCCATTTGCCTCATACGAGTGAGCCTACAGGAACTTTAGAATCATACGGGGTAAGAGCGCAAAGGGCTTACAAACTGAAGATATTGGAATAGTCTGATGGAATAACGTTAACGGTCGGATCCAACTTTCAGAAAAGGTGATCTCACTATTCAAAACCGTTCCAGAGTCGACGTATGTGCTGAACTGGCGTTTCGCGTCTGAGAAGAGCGAAAGATAAAGCTCTTTCTCTTCGGGACTGAAGTAGTCCCGTCGCACGATCACTATACGAGGAGGTAAGTCCAAGTCATCAGCTCGTTGAATCTGCGGTAGCGATTCAATTTCGAGCACACAAATAAAAGGATAAATCCGACCTTTGTTCTACGGAGCATCATTCGATCAAGGAGGATGCGTAGCTTCTTGAAGGCAATCCTTCCCGGGCCCTCGATGCCGTGTTTCTGAATAGGTGTCAAGATCTCGTTGTTCCAAAAGCAGGTCTGAATGATACTAATTAGCAGAGTTCGCAAATGGTGATGGCGACTTACATGTTGCATTGGGCTGTGACCACAATCTATTGCAAAGTATATAGAATAGGCATTTGGAATTGGAGCACAGAATCTTACCGTCACAATTCCTTTTATCTGTAAACTTCCAATGAAGCGATTTACAATCGCATTTCTTACCTATTACGATAATAAGATCAATAACTCAAATGAAGAATGCAAAGACGCATGACGCACAGAAATAAAAGGAGAATGGATCACCCCCGAGGAAACGAACTAGACTGTAGAGCTCTCCCACACGATTCTGCAGGGGCGTTCCGGATAGACACCATTTGTAATTGCTCTGAAGCTCAAAGGATGCCTTGGCAGTATTGGTTTGGCGTTCTTTAATGTTGTGCGCTTCGTCAAGCTGTCCAAAAATCATCAGTAATGATGAAGTTATCAAAACGAGCCGATCGTACAATGATCCGGTTCCATTTAATCTGGTGAAGAGCTGAAGGTTCCTTCACAATGAGCCCCTTCCGCTTAAAACCATTCTGCTGCTTCCTGAAGCAACTCTCCATGACAGCGTAAGTAGTGAGCACCTGGTTTGCATTAATATATCGAGACGAAGGCATAGAGGATTTTGAAGCTACTAACCACATCGTATTTCTCCAATTCCTTGGGGTTGGTGACACGAGATGCGCCATGCCATACCAAGACTTTCATCCCCTCTGTGTGAGTGTTGATCTCATTGCGCCATTGCATTATAGCAACAGTTGGCCTGCGTAACATGTGATTAGGATATGGCAACACAACTGAATGGTGGAAACATACGCAACGACAAGGTTCGGGCGCTTCAGGTCCGACACAAAGAGGGATATCATCTGAATAGTCTTACCCATGCTGTAAAGAACGCATTCAAACCTGTATATACTAAAAGTTCAAGAAACCTACCCCATCTCGTCGGCTAGCATGCCGCCATTCCAGATCCCTTGCTCTTGCTTACGCATCCAGAAGAGTGATTCCCGCTGGAATGGAAGCAACGTGACCTTCAAACCAGCAGGGTGTTCAGCTCTCTCCGGTACGACGATAGGGATGCTGGACTCAACGTCACCCCAGACGTCCTTGAGTTCAGGGTGATGCCTTCTGAGTGCCAAAGAAGATTTCTCGGCCTGCACTGACAATTTGGGTAAATATTCCAGCAGAAAAAGGTCACCGTACCCAAGTAAGCTTTCGGCCAAGCTCTTGCATTAATGTGTATTCCTCTGACTTGTTGGCCCTCCTTTCGGCCGCTTGCAGGCGGCGCCGTTGAGCCCGCTCTACCCAAGTCATGGGTTCGGTGTCGATAAACTTTAGCTTTGCTTTGCCCTTCTTCGTAGCTTTTCCCTTGCCCTTAGAGGGAGGGAATTCCTCTTCGCTTGAGCTCAAGGCTGATAGTGCCGATTCGCTGTCTGCAATCATGAAATCGCCATCTTCACTGCCGGCAGAACGACGTTTGCCTTTTCCCTTGCCACCAGATCTTACGAGGCGACGTTCGGCAGCAGCAGCCTTCTTGGTAATCTTGAGGCTTGGTGACGCAATGTTGGCTCTGGAAGAAGAACCGACTCCCGAGGATTCCTGAGCAGCGAGCCGTGCTGTTTCACGGGACAACTCAATGGCAGCAGCAACCATCAACTCTTCGTCACCTCCTGACTCGTGGCCCTCAGAACCCGAGACGTCAGAGAACTGTTCCCAGTTCTTTGAGGGGAGAGGGACATCGTCATCTGACTCGTTATACTCCGAGTCACTGGATTCAACGTCCTCGAGGTCCTCATCCTCTGAGAGAAGCTGGACATCCATATCATTGGAGGTAGAAGGAACGGCAACTCGCCCTTTGCTTTTGACAGGTGTTGCTTGTTGCTGTACATTGATAGTACTTAGTATACGGCTGGGTGAAACTAAAGACTGTGTTCTCGCCTTTGATTTTAAGGTCAAATTTTTAACGGGTATCTCAACACAAAAAGCTTTGTGAGTAACTTTCCGTTTAGTTGGGACTGGTCTAGCCGCGAAGTCTTCGCCTTCCTCTGCATCTTCTGCAGGGCGCTTGCGTGTATTC